ATTTTTCCAGCCACTGAAAATAGTCCTCCTTTCCTGAGTTGGATTCCTTATTTAGGAAACTGGCTAAGAAATACTGCAAATTAGACTCCACAGTTTCAAGTGCATTGTGACCATCTTACAAAACAGGTAGCATTTGATATGGTTATAACATAGATACCAGTGGAGTCTTGCTGGGAAAAAGGTAATGAGTGTCTCTTTGTTAATAGTCTTATTGTCCAAAGTGCTCTTAGGCGCTATACTCCATGAGAGACGCTATATGTATGCAAGTTGTTGTTGTGGTGGTATTTGAGTAGACAAGTATTAAAATCGCTTTAGAAATGAGTGGTAAGCATCCTTGATGGCTGAATACCACCCCATATAGCACTAAGAAATACAGAATAGAAGAATATAAACATATTTTGATTCCTAGCTGAACTTTGGGGCATTGCAAATAGACAACGGGAAAAATCAGCTATAGGTGGAACTGCTGGTCACTGGTCAGTCACCCCTTCTAAAGGTTTGTGTGTGAGATATTGGAAAAACAGCTGCACAGACTCCACTGATTTGCTTCCATGCTCAAATAGGCACCTGACACTCACTGTCTAGGCTCATGTGTAAAGAATGGCCTCTTGAGCAGGGTAATAGAGGCCTGCAGGCATCCGTGGAGCAGAGGACCCCCTTCAGCAGAAGAGGAGAAAGTTGGCAACATTTACAGAACATCTAATGTTCAAACATTGTGTGCAGGCTGGAGGAAGGAAGCAGCAGGGTTTTTTTTTGCCAGGGACTTCATCTGTACAGTAGAGTGTTAATTGAAACAATTAATCATTATACGTACTGTAAGTAGAACATTTGCATGGATGGGGGGATCTACATCCAGTGCCAACATTTTGAATCTTTGCTCTAGGACTATAATGGTAACATTGTTCCTAGCCTGTTTGACGAGATGCAGCACAAGATTTTAAATGACAGATTTTCTTTTACATAAATTAATGTAACCCAGTGCTCATTCTGGCTACAGATACAGAGAGTCCTGCGCATACTGTGGGAATATGTATTGTGTAGTCTAGTTACTTTTACCAAAGTGCACACCAGTGAATGGCGAGTCAAAGGGCTGCATTCGCTTTCATAGCATTTTGTACACTAATCTGCTTATTTTCACTTCCCATTAATTCTTACAGTGTATCCTAACTTGTGCCATGATGGAACTTGTTTAATGTCCTGTATTTCTTTACCACCTCTGTTAGCCCTTATTGAGCTCAACTCAATATGCAAGTACTGTACACCAAAATCTTCTCATACCTAGTCCAGGTATGAATCACCCTGTCATTTACTTTGAATACATTACTTGTGACTGCAGCCAATCCTTTAATCTCTTTACACCTGTTTTGTAAAGTGGCTGCAAGCCCATTTCTCATTCCTCAATTTGTTTTATCCTTATTATTTTAATATATTTTGACCCAACTCGTATAAATTTGCCAAGAAAATCAAACAAGGGCTTCATTGTGTTCTTCTGCACTGATTATTTTACCACTGTCTTTGGAGCACGCATGCTGGAAACTCATCTTTGAAATGCACTTTTTTCTCATTAAGCTCGTGTAATTGTAACACTAAATTGGGAAACACACACTATAACCTAGAAAAATAGTTAAGAGCCAAAGGAATACAGTGTATTGGGGCAGAAGGTATTAAAGAGCAGATTTTTTTTACTTCCAACAGCCTATCTACAATCAGCACTCGGGGACGCTATCTGCATGAGGGGCGCTATATAAACACAAGTTGTTGTTTTTGTAATTGTTCATTCACCTCACAGCTTTCCATCAGACCTTGGTGTAAAAAAACAGACATTACACTTAATATTTATGATAATAATACTTCTTTTTAATACTTGACAATAGTTATTGTGGTGGTAAGAGAACAGCTTACACGAAAATGCAAGACTTACAATCTTGATTGAAAACCCGTTGTCAATGAAAATACGAGCCCGAGCAGGGAAGGGGCAGGATTAATGGTCATGTTAAACTGAATGTGGGCTGTGTTGACACATCTAACACAGTGGAGGAACACTTAATACATTATAGTAGAGGGTTATTACTAGTACTGTACATGTGCTGAAGTATACCTGGAGTGTCGTATAAGAAATCCATTGTCCTCCAGAACTGATTTGGCTAATTTCTCCCTCCCAAGTCTTCTAAAGGTATCACTGTGGTAAAGTTTCGCAGGTGCTGACAGCCCTCCAGTAACTCCTCAGTGGCTGTTCTTAATGTGCAAGCCTGAACAGTGAGTGTTGGCAGGTGGGGTGCATCACTGCCGACTCTGATCCCATTCTCACCCAACGCACAGCACACAGAATTTCCAGCAGGGGTCACTGGCTAAGGATCAAGAGCTGATGGCTATTTGCCTCTCGACTGCGTGGTCTTGGAGATCAATTGTAGTATCTACAACTGAGATCAACCAATATCATTAACCTCAGAACAGACTGGGGCTTGTATGGTCTAGTCTTGCACCAGGTATTTGTCTGGTGGGACTTTGGAGGAGCTCCATTCTAGCCCTTTGAATGCTGTAGAAATTGTAGTTCGGAGACAGTATCTTTCATTCTCCACCCCCTCAAAACATTTTGTAACTTTAAGAATAAGTGTGTATATTCACTATACAGAAATCTGAATTTGTAATGAGTCTTGTGATACAAAAAAGGTGCAGCTGGATTATTGCTTTCCAGTGTGACTTGAAATGGCTCCATCAATCATGCAGTAAATCCTCAATAAGTAGAGGATAAAGTCATTCTGGCAGGTTATGCTTGTAAGGTAATAAGCAGTCTTACAGCCTTTTATTATTTTACATTCTGACATATTGGTGCGGGAACTTGCCAGTTCGTACCTTGTTAGTATCATAGGACCCCCTTCCAAGGAGCATGCCATTGGGAGGGTGTTTTATGTGGTATCTGTGTTAATGAGGGTGTCATAAACAACTAATGTGCTATGTAAATCATTGTATATTGTGGAATGCTAAAGGGAGGATTGTGTGATGTTCGTGTGAAACATTAGAATACTATAGATTGGTAGAAGGAAGTTACAAATCAGTCAACAGTGAAGGAATTCAATCAAGGCCACAATTGTGACAGTAAACCATCAAGCGCTTTATGGTTTGAATGTCATTGTGCATTGCCTGTTGTTTCTTCTCCCTTTTTGGTTTTTATTTTTTAATTGTATATCATTTGTAATGTTTTTTTTCGCTATTTTTGAGTTTAGCCACAGGAGAGGTGACAACAAATGGAACGGGAACGAAGGTTACATTTATAATAATACATGGTTGGGTGAAATTCCAATAGATTTTGTGGTTTGAGCTTGTTTTATGATCACAATGTTCAGAAATAGGGCCCCCTATAACTGTGTAGCAACTTATAACTAATAAGAGGTCACTAGACACCTCTGTAAATCATCCCTATTTAATGCAGTACATGCATATGTTAAGAATTTAAGAGGTTAAGGTCTATGAGTATGAAGCAGTTTTGATTCTCAGTCCCTTGTACAGTAGCTACCTCCTCACCATATCCCTTAATCTATTGTCTTTCCATTGGTTGCCTCTTGAAGCCATTCATACTGTCTGCTTCAGTAGACTTTACTGATCATGTATAAGATTTGCTTTCTTCTTTGGCTTCATTCATAATAATTAGCCAGTCTCACATGAGAGTTATCTAACTGGACACTGATGCTCGAGAATCATGATGCAAAATTGCAAAGGCATATGGAGGAGGGAAGAAAATGGTAAGAAAATACTTTGCACATTTTGATATACCAAAATCCATGGATTATTCTAAATTCAGGTATTACTCAAAGTATGTAGGGAATCAATTCGCCTTATATGGTGTTGGGTAAAAATTGCAATATATCGTGACCAATTCAACATGATATCACATTGAAACAGAAGCAGAGAGAGCTGGGAAAGCTCAGCAGGTCAGACAGCATCTATGGAGAAAGGAAAGTGAGTCAACGTTTCGGGTCCACGACCCTTCGTCAGTTGAGTTCTGACGGAGGGTCGTGGACCCGAAACGTTGACTCGCTTTCCTTTCTTCATAGATGCTGCCTGACTGACCTGCTGAGTTTTTCCAGCTCTCTCTTTTTGTTTCAGATTTCTAGCATCTGCAGTATTTTGTGTTTTGTTCATGATATCACATTGAATCTGTTATGAATTATCTGCATTTTCCCCCATAGTGTGTATGTGTTTTATGTTTACAAAGAGATTTCACTTATTGTATGTATTCGTAAATTGTATTATCTGTCTTTCGAATGAGACGTTAAACCGAGGTCTCACTTGCTTATTCAGAGAGGCTTTAAAAATCCCATGGCACTATTTGAAAAGAGAAGGGAGTTTCTCCTGGTGTCCTGGCCAACAATCCTCCAGGTAGAACTGGTCATTCACTTTAGAAGGACATTGCTGTATGCAAATTGGCTGTCAAGTTCGCCCACAAAATACAGTTACTATACTTATAATCTTACAGTTACTACACTAATAATCCCTCGAAAACCAATAGCAATAATAAATTGGTCATTTTCAATCCACGACCGTTTGTGGGACATTGCTGTGCGCAATTGGCTGCCGCGTTCGCCCACAAATATACAGTCAATTCACTTTACAGTGTGTTCTGTGAAACGCTTTGGGACGTCCTCCCGATGTGAAAAGCGCTATATCAAATGCAAGGATTATTATTATTTACAGCACAATTTAGTCTTTGTAGATAACTACAGTATAGTACAATAATGCAAGGATTATTAATCCTGTGAAATGCTTTGAGACGTCTTCCGATGTGACGGTTGCTATATCAAATGTAAGTATTATTTTCATGGAATGCTATAATTTTCAAGAGAAAACTCTGTAGCTTAATGACTAGCAAGCCTTACTTTACGAGAACAATAGTCTGTTAGAAATGATTATCATCATTGTAACCTGAATGTATTGCTGCTTTCATTTTAAAAAAACATGCCTGACAGGGCAATTCAGAAAACATTGCCTTTTTTTCCCTGCAGTTGGTGGTAGAGTGAGTCGAGAATTATCATACACACGACAGAAGATAGGGGAGGAGGCAATGTTCAATCCACAGATCATGATACAAACACCTGTTGAGGAAGGTGCTAATGTTCTAACACTTGAAGCATTACAGCAGCACCTTGAGTCTGCGATGAAAGCCAGCAGAGTGCAAGTTTACTTGTACAACAAGTAAGTGCCGTCAAATCACCACATCTTTGCGCTTTCAAATCTTTTACTTCAATTTTTTTTTAAAAAAGTTATTTTTTTCAGTGGCCGCCCTTTCAGCCACTACGTCCCAAAACTCTGGAACACGCTGCCTCAATCCCTTTGCCTTGCCCCCTCCTTCCCCACCTTCAGGTCGAGCCTGAAGATCTTCCTCTTCAACTGTGCCTACAGTCACCTCCCCCTCCCCCCCCGGCTCGGTGTCGTGGTCCCCCACTGTCGAGCACTCTGGGACCGTACCCTACGTGAGGGGCGCTATATAAATGCAAATTGTTATTCTCTTCACTCTTTGTAGATACTGAGCTTTCTGATGTATTATGGGTTAAGCACTAATGTTTTAGACTGGCCAACATCTCCCTATGGAAATCGTCAAGTCCACTTTTTTTCCCATTTCTGTTCAACGTTCATTTGAACTAATATATTTGTTTCTATTTTAGACAGTGGAACTTAGACAACTTATGTTATAAATCAGGAGCACTTGTAACGGAAACCAGTTGGATGGACCAGGTATGTCCCAGTTATTTATTTATTGCTGACTGTAATTTTAATTTGTTTGAGATTACTATGATACTAAATGTATTATTCTGTTGTTGCCAGCTTATTGAAAAATTGTACCCTTGTGTAATAATCTCACCCTTGGACTGCTTCTGGGAAGGTGCTAAACTACAGTTAGGAACACTCTACCTACCGTAAGTCAATCTTCTTCATTGCTCGTCAGTAGTTAAAGACCATGTTTACGTTGTTGGAAAGCATTTGCATTTTTCTGAACATTTCAAATGCCTCCTTTTAAATGTCAGAAACATTTAAAAGGCACATGTAAGATCAAGATTAGATGGAAGGTGCCTCAAAGTGCCTGATGTTTAATACTCACGGAGACTGAGGACTTTCAATGTGATTTTTCATTGGTATTTAAGATAAGATCATTTTGTAACTTTTTAGTTTTGGTATAGAAATTACAGCCTAAGTATTTGTATCAATAAATCTTTAAACTGAATTAAACATGTTTTTAAAACAAGCCTTGGTTTTACGCAGTTTGTATATCTTCCAGTTAGTGTTAGTTAGTGTTTGGGGACATAATTGGTTTGGATTCTGTTGTCTACTCCTGTCGGTCTGTGCTCCTACCTGCTAACAGTAGCATTGAAAACCCATTTTCTAACATGTGACTATTCAATAGGCAATTTTACTTAGTTATTTCAGTCCAGGAATAGCATATAGATAGATGAAAGTATTCCCAGCAGGAATTGTGGGCTAATTTTTCTCACCGAGGGAGTGTGGAAGCTTTTGGATGGGAGGGAGCGGGGAGATTGGGATAGGACTGATAATATTAGACTGGAATTGTAAAAAAAAAAGACTTGTACAAAAGCTTTTACAAATTGATTGGAATCCATGTAACTGAATCATCCGCGCTTGAGTAATTTTATTTATAGCAGATACAAAGTGTTTGGGAAATGTCAGTGTTGGCACCAGATTAGAAAAGATTTCTTCATAGCTGAAAGTGAAAAAATATGATATGGTTTTAAGAGAGAGAGAGAGAGATGGAGACAATTTAAGCTGACAGCATTATAGCTCAATCCTACAGCAGTTATTTGATTTAAAAATAAATCTTCAAAAACAAAATCTTGATCAAACGTCTCAGTTTATAATATTTCGTGTTTTTCGTGGTTGCACGTCTCAGTGAGTATTACTTATGCCAATCGTCTTCGACCCTGACGGTGCCTGGTTCATATTGTAAATAAGGTTTTTTTTGTGTTTTCTGGTTGGGAGAGTTGGAATAATGACTCAAGCCTGGTTAAGCAGATACAATGTGGTTTGAACCACAAAACAACCCAGCCAAAAGCTTCTCCAGTCTGTCAGCATTGGGAAGAAATTCAAAAGAGGGGATGTTGGTCGATTGCCAGGTTGTCAGAGAGCATAAAGAAGTAAGGTATCATTAGTGGTAATAAAGGTCAGTTATTATGATTGATTCAGGTATAAAAACAGTTATTATTATAATACAGTAGGGTTGTAATCGGACATTATGTCACAGTTTTTTGATGTGCCAGCTGCTAGCTTCTTATGCTGTGAATGTATAAAAATGACTCATATCTTCACAAAGGGAATGGCTCAGTAGGCACCCACTTTCAGCACTTCCACATTAAACACTCCTTTACTTCACAGCATCAATCAGAGTTAGAGACCGAGTTTATCTTGGAAAATATACATACGCTGGGTGAGACTTTTTTTCTTTGCCCTTAACTTAACCAAAATCAAGATTAAGAAGAACGCTTTGGTCATGGAACAATGGGGTCAAAATTGCGGAATGTAATAGAATCATTATCATATTGACCAAAAAATTAATTCAATAGCAATCAGTAGTTTTCACTGGCCTTTTGATGAGACGGGGTGGGGGCTGGGTGGCATAGCCCCAAGGCTAGTGACAACTACTGATTGCTATTGAATGCATCTTTGGTCAATATGATAATTATCACCAGTGATACTATCACACGCCACAATTTTGACTCAAACACACGCATTTTTTTGAGGGGGAGTGATTGTTTAATTTCTTGCTGTTTGCACGGGTTCAGTGTGAGGGCAGTTTTCATGCTGCGTTATGTTATGGTCGAGTTCATTTTAGGTATCGGTGTTTTAGCAAGCAAATTGTTTTCTGACGTGTCTGTATCACAACACTGCTCCAACTGGATCTGCAACATGCAGGGCTCTCAGTGAGATGGAATTTACCGCAATTTACATCTTAGAATGTATTCTATAGCATGGGTGGTAAACAAGTTAACAGCAGAGTGTACAGGTTGGTATGCGTATAGTTGATCAGGATAATGGCAGCGTTGGGGTAAAAAATAAGCCATTCACGAGCCATGGTCACTGTGCTAATTCTGTTTTGTGACCATATTCGGCTGTTTTTTAGCTGGTGTTTTGATTTCCAAGTTCAATGTTGGACTTTTCTTCGGGCTTTAGCTCAGCCAAGAAATGTTCCCAAAGCAAAGGCATTTGCAGCTTTCGGTTTGTGAATGTCAGGTTGTCGACCTTATTAACTAGCATTAGATCTTCCCTGATCTCTGAGGTAGCCTTGGGCAGAGCAGTGATGCTATACAGGTGAACTGAGGCTCAGCCACCAACCAGCAACCTGAAAATCCAACCCAGCATTCAGTGCCACTGGGAGCAGCTTGTATGTTCCTGCCTCTGGTGATGCTGCTTCCAGAGCCTGAGAGAACTCCCATCTCACGAGGTGTTAGTCCACACCTCTACGGACAGCGATGCCTTCCTACAAATCTTGCAGGACTGACTCCTGCTAAGGTGGGGCTGCCATCAATAACAACAATAATAACAAAATTACATTTGTATGGAGCAGTGCCCCTTGCAAAGTAAATGCAGCATTGGTTTTTCAGACAGTACAAAGATTACCTCATCGAGTCTGTTGCAATACGGTCCCAAATGTCACAGTACTTTCTCTGAATGCTGCAGATATTAACTTTCTTGCTGAACATTACAAATTTCAAGCTTCTTTTCCCTGCTACAAAATGATTGTGTTTGGCTTTGGAAGTTAATGCTGTATCGGCATTGAAAATCTAGCCCTTGGAGTGAAGTGCGACATGCAACATAATACGTGAAGATCTCATGATGTCCAGTGGTTTTGTTGAGCTAAATGTGTTTGGTGTTAATTCTTGATGAACACGCAACATGAGCAGTCTTGTTTTAGTGTGTTGGGAAGCTCATATAGCAATCTCTCTGTAGTGATGATTTCTGTTACAAAATATTAAAGATGACATATTCTTCTTTGGCAGAGGTAAACCAGAGTTGCAGTGGACAAACCTTGATCCCTTAGAATTCCTGGAGGAGCTGAAGCACCTTAAGCACGAGGTGGATGGTTGGGAGGAGATGCTGAACAAGGCTGATGTTGGACATGGTTACATGGACCGCCCTTGCCTCAACCCTGCGAATCCTGACTGCCCACGTAATGCCCCAAACAAAAATTCAACAACAGTAAGCAAATTATATATTGTTTTCTTAAGGTGAAAATCAGGGTTTCCATTTAAACAGCGAATAATGATCACTTGTTGTGGGAAGACTGGCTTTGGATGCATGGTTTGCCTTAATTCTCATTTCCTCGCAACTATCAGCATTTCATTGTTAACAAAGTGTGTCTGATATTACCATTTGTAAAATTTGAAATGAATCTCTTGTTACTGAATTCTTCCTAACCCCTGTGATGCACTTACTGTATTTGCAGCCTCTTGATATTGCTCGTGTGTTAAGTGGTGGCTGTCAGGGATTATCAAAAAAATACATGCACTGGCAAGAGGAGCTGGTAGTAGGGGGTACCACAAAGAACAGCAGTGGAAAACTACAGAGGTAAGTGGTCAAACCAGCAATGGACAAAACATTTCTTTTATACAAATAATTTTGGAGTTGCCATTAGCTACATTTTGGGACAACCAAGCCACTAAAATATTTCTCTTTTCTGTGGAAGCAGAGGTATAAAATAACTCTGTGCATCTTTTTACTGTGCATTATTGAATCAATTTAAATTGATATCTGTATAGTTGAATATAACATAAGCTTGATGAGTGTTTTAATGATACTGAAGACACTCTCTGAAATATCTAACATTCTGCCCCAGCAAAACTATGAGATCAACCATGTTGAAGTAAAATAATACCGATTCACATTCACCTTGTTCACCTTCAAATAAGCTTTTCAGTTACTATACAGTAAATCATTGAAACACTTTAAGATGGTTTGATGATGTGATAAGGTGCTATAATCAAATACAAGTATTACTATTATTTTATGTTAATTGTTAAAATGAGCTCTTGTTTCACTATATCTTTTAACTGGGGTTTCTACGGTAAAATCAAGTGAGCGATCTCTTAACTTTACGGTAAGATAGACACATTGTCTTTTAAACATACTGCAGAGTTTCTGTTCTTGTTCCAAGTGATTTCCAATGCTACTTTGAATGATGCAAAACCTCTCTAGCAACATCACTGAATTTACACAGATAAAAAATGCCTTATTTTCTTTGCTGTTTCTAAAATGTGCACAAGATTATTACACAGTACATCTTCATTTTCAAGTTAATTTTTAAGTCCAGCTTGTTAAAAAGTATTGTTTTAAGGTTAGTTGTGGCGGGGAGTGGGGAGAAGCTGTAAGGTTTTGAGTCATTCATGACTTCATGAGCTTGAGTTCTCTTCCTGGTAATGTTTATATATTCCCATCCCCCACCTCTCCCTCTCTCCCTTCAGTGCTCAAGCTCTCCAGACCATGTTTCAGTTAATGACCCCCAAGCAGATGTATGAACACTTCAAGGATTATTATTACGTTTCGGATATCAACTGGAATCTGGACAAAGCTGCAGCCATTCTGGAGGCCTGGCAGAGGAAATATGTTGAGGTACAAATGCAAAATAAAAAGGAATTTAAAGGCGCTTTTGTTTACTCGTTGAAATCTGCATGTTGAAATTAGATATAACAGGAGTCTGTGGAGCACTTTCGCCACTGTGCTATGTGCTCAGCATGCAGTCTTCACTTTATTCTTCTAACTTACTCAAAACAGGTAAAATCCCACTGAAGACTACTCAAGTTTTATTTCTGTGTGTTTTTTTTATTCAACTTTGTAGTAAGTTGCGTTTCAGTGTTTGGAGTTCTGTGGATGTGGGGCTGCCTATAATAGGAAGGATGTGTCTGTCAAATGGTCAATTTAGCTTCCAGATGTGGCTTCCTGCAGTGAAGCCTGCTTCTGTCTCTTTTTGCTACACACTTTTCGGGGGGAAAAAGTATTTGCTGGGTAATGCCCGACTTGAGATAAACTGTTGGGATTGAGAATTCTTGGTACAGGTATTATTGTTTTTGGAAGGCTACCTGCAGAGACATTAGCCTGATTATAAGCCGGCGCTGCTCAGTGTTGTACCCAAAAGCCTGAGCAATATTTGTTTGTCTTCAGTGTTTGAATTTCGCACACACACGGAGATAGGAACATATAAGGCCTGTGCTAAACTGAGCAACAATCGCCCACTGTGATTGTTACTCTGTTTATTAAAAAGAAGGTGTCTGGAAAACATTAGCTCGGCACAGAATCTGCTCACAGCTGCAGTTGCATTGGTAGAGTCATGTGACATCATCTGGCATTTGTTTCCCGGGCAGTGACCTTTGTAAAGTAGCCCGAGACCCCATATGCTGGCCAGCCAATGAAGCATGAGTGAGGAGCCCCTGAAGTCTTTTTTGTGTTGCTTGGGCATGATGAGGAATCTGATCGACGACTAAAGCTGTGGTCTTTGCTGTGTGAGTGGGGAAAAAAGCAGAAGGATCTTTTTGCATCCTAGGCAGAATAGGGGTGATTCGGTAAATCCTTTGAATGAAGTGAGGTGGAGTAATATGAAGTGAATCCTTTTAAGTACCGCAGTTGATCTCCTTTTCCAATATATTGCTGGGCATCTTGTGTGATTATTCAGTGCCCCTGTATAGAATTGCAACAAATATGACATCAAGGCTCCACATCTTTCATGCAATTATAATTCTTGCTGAATAACCTTTGACTTGGCTGATTTGTTTCTGGAAAGTTTTCTTTTTTAACTGTTGCTTTAGGAGCTTCATCAGAAATTCTCTTCAGACACGTTACCGACAAGGCAGCGCTTATTGGAAAATAAGAAAAATGTTTTAACATCACCACTGTGCCTTGCTTTTAATGCATGTTTGTACTTACTCTTTTTACAGGTTGTCCATCAAAGTGTTGCACAGAATTCGAGCCAGAAGGTACTTTCGTTCTCTACTACTACCCTTGCGGACATCCTCAAATCCTTTTCCAGTGTCAGTGTTATCCGAGTCGCTGGAGGCTATCTGTTAATGGTGAGTTGATTCCACATGGCTCAGGATTGAAAGCATGGAAATGTTAGCATTGCTTGCTTTTAATGGTCAAATATTCAATACTGGTGAAACTGGAAGTAAAGTTTAGATGAGAGCAGGCGGATAGTTTGATCATGTTCTCATGAAATAATCAGCTTTGTGGTATTTTGTTTGTCGGGCAATGAGTTACAAACATGATGTATTGTGCTTTTTGTTTTTAATTTACAAAAGACTTTTGAAGTTGTCTTAATCCAGTCAGTTGTGGTTTGAAACTTATGAGAAAGTGGTTTGTGATGTTCTGCTCTGATTGTGTTTTCAGCTTGCCTATGCCTGTCTAACTATGCTGCGATGGGACTGCGCCAGGTCCCAGGGTGCTGTCGGGCTGGCAGGAGTCTTGTTAGTTGCACTGTCGGTGGCTGCAGGGTTGGGCTTGTGCTCTTTGATTGGCATTTCCTTTAACGCTGCAACAACTCAGGTACATAATAATAATCCTTGCATTTGATATAGCGCCTTATCACGTCTTCGAGACATCTCAAAAGTGCTTCACAGAATATATTGTAACGCGAATTGACTGTATATTTTGTGGGCAAAATTTACATTAAAGTTACCTTTTAAAACATTTATTCTTTCAGTCAAAACAATTCTCGGTCTTGTATAAACTTCCGCAGCATCATTTCATGTCACATGTGTATTAGGAGAGAAGAAGTTAAAGAGCTCCTAGATATAGAAACGTAAGAGTGTTACAGCACAGAAAGAGGCCGTTTGGTTCATTACTGACGTCTTTCTTTCTTTGAATAAGACCCGAGTCTAATCTCATTTGCTTAAGCATGTATAACGTCATGGTGACCTGATGACCGGGAAATTGGCCATATTTTGGTATGAATATATGTGTGAATATATGCATAAGTCCATATAACCCCGTTCCACATTATATAACACTGACTGACGATCACGGCCCTATTGTAAGGTGGATTGGACTTTTATGGACACCTCACCCCCACCAACTCATGTTACATTGGGCTCAACCTGTGAAACGCAAAAAAAATTAAAGCAATATTTTGCAACTGAGCTTGGCATTTCATGAAGAGTCAACAGACTGCGTTCACATTGGTAGTTAATGTTGCCATTGTATTGTTCTCCCATATTCTTTGAACATTGTAATAAGGGAAGTCAGTGTAGATTTGATTTTTCTTCAATGTCAAATTCAGACTGACCCGTCGAATCGGGTCAGTCATGGACTGGAACCACTTTGGATCTGATAGCGGTGTTCAGATTACCACTGAAGCAGACCACGTGAGTGTAGGTGTGGCTTTGCTAGCACTGGTGAGACTGAAATTCTGTTGCCATTCAAAGTTATGGCATAGAGCCCTCAATTGCTCTGGACATCACAATATCATGTATGCCGTTCATTGAGCTCTGCCAGGTCACCTTCACTTGTGCAAAGCTGTTTGAGTTCTCACATTTCAATTAGCATTCATTTTTGTGAGTGGGAGCCAGTTACTCAGACTTGTTGCTAGCCCGTAATATTATAATAATAATAATATTAGGTCTAAACTGGCAGCCCTAAGGCAAAGTTACATTTCTGCACACTAAACTGTAGAAGCCCTGAAAAGGGATGCTTGTTTTAGTGAGATGAGTGAGGAACTTTGGATAGGGTGTGCACAACAGGGCCTCTTGAATATTATATGTTTATAATTGAGTTTAATGTTGCACTGTTCAAACTTTAGAATGATGCTTTTTGATGGAATTCATACAGAATTAAGCACTGTGAGCATTTTGTGCATTAAAATGCCCAAGGAAAGTAATCTGTAACATCTCGTTATTGAACTAACTGATAGAGCGAACGTTACTAACTGCATTAGAAAGTGTTCAGTAACTGAGGTGTTTGGTTGCTGATTGTACATTTCAGTTGGTGTGTCCTTTACTGCAGGTTTTGCCTTTTCTTGCTCTTGGTGTGGGAGTGGATGACATCTTTCTTTTGGCACATGCATTCAGCGAAACGGGACAAAATAAACGAATTCCATTTGAGGTGAGGATAGGATGCTTCTTTTAAGAGAAACCATGTGGCAGTACTGTGTTTCCTCGTTGCATATTGATCTCTTGAAATAATTCCCAAGTTATTTTAGCTACTGCAGAAAACTGGTTTCAAGTTGAGACTGAATTCAACAATTTGCCAAATTCTGGATGCTACGTAAATAGAGTAAATCTAGACTCAGGGGAGTTTCTCCTTAAAGTATAGTGACTGTATTCTATGGTTACATAGAAGTATGGATTTTCAAGCTGAAATGAGCCATGTTTTCTGCATCATTTGGATATATTTTGATTAGGACTTTTATTTTTCTAAGGTCTTTTTTAAGGGGATAGAGTTTTGTATTTTTTTAAAAGTAATTGAACCATTGTTTAATTTGAACTTAACAGCACTTAATATTAATGGAGCAACAATTTTCTTAACAAAGCAACATAAGCCCAAGCATAATGTTTTAGGAACTTAATGACATAGCAATTGTCTACAAGAAACCTCAATTTACTCGGACTGGGTCTTCCTCTCTTTTATCTCTCGCCAGTCTCTACCCCTCCACCCACACATGGTGACTCCTCAGTTCCCTGTGTTTTTTGTTATCAAGCTTAAAGCATTTTGGCTGTCTCAATCAGCTGTACCTTTTATGTGGTTTAAATCAAAAAGTAAGGAGGAAAAACATTATCCACTGGTTTTGAAAGACTGACTAGCACGATGTGTGGTCCGGCATTTTATCGCTGTACCCTTTTTTTTATAAAAAAAAGGAATGTCACTCTGTGTTTGTAACTTTGCTGATACGCCATCAGCTGCGATATGAGCATAATGCAAGAATAGTTGTTGTATCTAGAAAAGGGATTGTTTAGCTTTGATGAAAAAAATGTCCCTCTATTCTTCCACAGCATAATGGGTTTGGGATGCATTATGTGAAGGAGAGATTTAACATGCGATTAGAGCATCCAAAGAAGTTCACTGTTTTTCATACCGTGGCGGGGGCTTGCTTTGTGCTCTCACAGTTTCGGGCTTTATGAAGAGCTTATGCTGCTCCTTACAGCCCTGTAGATTGCTGTCAGTTTTATGAGTTGCGGTCCTTATAAAAGCGTTTTAACCCCTTCAGGGTGGCACATTCCTTGCCAGTTTTTAGAAGAGACACGCCTCATGCATGGTACAGATATGTGTGTTACTGCGACTCTTGGACAGTTAATATAAATAGGATCTCCCCACTGGAGCATTACCCTTTTATATTTAGAATGACAGTTGTAATTGATTTTGTATCTGAATACTGTTGACTCTGCATGCACACAAGATGGTAATCTAAACTGCTTTCATTCACTTAATGTTGCCCTTTTGTGAGCAGTTCTTCCACTGTATAATACACCCAAGTGGACTGTGCAGGAAAGGTGTTCTTGTTTAATTCTCTATGTAAGTCGTCTCGGGTTAAAAAAGCAAATCACAAAATCCTGGTCTCATTTGCTTTCATTCTTTCTCCCCCTATAATCTTTTTCTTCCCCCTGTCTCTTCTCCCCCACGCTCACTCACCCCTCCCCAGGACCGAACCGGAGAATGCCTAAAGAGAACTGGAGCAAGTGTAGCCCTTACCTCCATCAGCAATGTCACTGCCTTCTTCATGGCTGCTTTGATACCCATTCCTGCTCTTCGGGCATTTTCCTTGCAGGTAAGTCAAACAAGTTACTTTTGGTCTCTATCCAGCTAGTTGTTGAGCCAAGTGCAAACATGGCTTAAAACAAGAGACCTCCCTTAAACCTGCGTGACTATGTGAATCTGTGATTTCAATTGAAACAGGAGCAACCTTTACAGTTCAGTTCTCCTGTTTAGATGATAACTGTCTCTGTAGCGAGCTGAGAACCACTCACTGTGTTGCATGGTGGCTAGTTGGAGAAATGCATCCAACATTGTCAAATGAATGGGCTGTTCAGTGTTGAGAATGAGCATGAGGGATGTAGAAGACACCTGTAGTCAGTGGCTTGGAGTTACAGTATTGACACACAGAGAAAAAAGTCTGGTGGATGTTTCACAGTTGACATAAATCAATAGTATTTCTTTTCAGCTTGGAGATGCCTGGTGTTTAATGGTATTTTTAATTGAGTACATCAACATGTACGCCAGAACTATGAACACTGGGAGTGAAATTAATTTGTAAATCATTTAGTGCCACAATGTATATTTTTTACAGCCGCCTATCTTAGCTAAATGAACGCTGTCGTTCAAAATAGTGTTTGCTATTTATTGCAAAACTGCTTTGAAATGAACTGCTTTCTTCAAACTCGACTTCGGATTGACAGGGCCCTGGATTGAACCCAGCTCACGCAAAACCAATTCATTCATGCTGATCCCGGCTCAAAGCCCGCATTGTAAATGTGTGCAAAAAAACTGCATTTGATCTTTAAGAAATAAATGAGTCTTGGTTTTGAGTGCTCTCCTTCCGAAGCCAAAAGCAACAAACGATAAAGAGTTGCAGGAGGAGGAGGAGGAGATGGTGGAGGCAAGCCGATATTGGGGAGATCAAGAAGGATCTTATTCATTTTCAGATCGCTCACTGAAGGGGTAATTGCTTCAGCTTAACATGGAGACAATTTATGAGGTCAGCTGACCTCTGTGAAATGCGATAAACTGTACAATTTCAGAAGAGTAATTTTGCTTTTCGTAACCTGTGCCTCCACTCATTTTTCATGCTGCTTGACCTGCAACCTCCCGAGAGGAAGTAAAGGGTTGTAATTTTACTTGATACCTGGGTTAATAATTACGGTGACGAGATAGAACCCTGAAGTCTCTGCTTTGAAGCTGGGATGGACTGCAAATTTTGTTACAGTAATAGTTGATCTAAATAGAGACAATGACACAATGCTGTGAAAACCATATTTTATCTTTTAAAAAAATTGACAAATGGGGGAAGGAAGGAATACAAATTTACTGGAGCAAATATTCATCCAGTCATTTCTCTTAGTGGTACTGTATCTGGTTAATGCACTTGAGTTCCTAAGATATCTGCTTAGGCCAAGTGGAGTATTTTCCTTCATCATATGTTTTTAACACTGGATTGAACTTTAAATACATTTAAATAACCTTGTCCTGTTTTTTTTTTATTTTATAAACTTTTATTTTTTTCACCAGCAATTTGATTTTGGATTTTACAACAAAAAAAAACAACCCTGTTGATTAATGTGTATAAAAAGGGAGTTGGCTTTGACCTTTTCCTTAAGACAGTGTGAGATAATTATCAAAGGGCACATGTCTTCTGAGGCCCTGTATCTGTAAAGCAATCCAGGCGCTGAGGGAGAATAAATGATTTCCTGATTAGCTCTTACAAACAGCAAAGTCTGCTTTCAGTCTTGCATGCCAGCGGTTTCTTCTTTCCTTTTCTTTTCTGCTGTTTTGCCTGGAATTTTTGGCATAGTTTTCTCCTCTGAATTGTCGGTTGTGCAACGAATCTAGATTTGATCAGCTCTCGGTGTCACAGTTGACAAACAGCATGGCACTGGATATTAAGGTAATCAGATCTAAGTGGGTAGTTTTGTGGAACTGGCACAGGCCCGAACAGGAGAATTAGTTGTAGCGCTTTTGAAACCGAGCAATTTTTATATGATAAAATATAGAATGAATAGGTTTCTTTGGAAAACATTACAGTGTTAGTGAAAGAGGGGTGAACATAAACGACAATCCCTGGCACGGTTACAGCTGATTGAATAAGTGCAGTGAATGGCCTCTTTACACCCCTCCCTCCCCAATTCCTTAACCTCTGCAGACCCTGCCTTGGTTGTATGACAAATGGAGTTTGGCTCTGAAGAAAAGCTGTTTGCAGCAGTTCAGAGCCGGGTATTGAAAAGGACAACAAAGGAAGATCTGGCCCGAGTTGCAGGCAGGCAGAAGTAAGGTGGGAACTGCAGATGACAGGCCTCATCATCTGCTCATCACCTCTGGCTATGCAGTACACCCATGCTCCCTGGGTGGTCTAACAGGAATGGCGCATACAGCATATACCTTAGGCTGGGCCCCAACCAACCAGTCACGCTGGCTTCTCCCTGCACGCCTCATGCACAGCTTTTCATTCCTTTTAACTTTAGGATTGAGCAGCTAGTTTTCCCTACATCAAACTTACTGATGATAGCTTGTTTGAATTATTTGACTTTTAAACACAAGGTAACAAAGATGCCAACAAATGGGGGGGAAAAACACAGCACACTTTAATCTACCCAGTCCACAAATGCTTCTGAATTTGTTGTGTTCTTTGAAGTGTACTTTTTAAAGTGTTTTGCATCCCCAGAAATTTTGCTTTCTTTGAATTAGCGCAGAAAAAAAGTGTTTAAAAGAAACACATTTTCTTAAGCGTTCAAGAATTTACTGCGTGTAAAGATATATTTCAAAATCAATTTATTTATGACTTTCGGCTTGACTTGATATGAGTTTTTGAACTGTTCCGTTGCATTGCTGCTAGGTTGAAATGTTATGAGTGCAACCTAGTGTACACTACCTAAGGAGCGCAGAAGAAATTAATATGTAGGAGAAGTGGAGAGAAATTCCACCAGAGTTTAGAGTTGTAGCATTTAGAATATTCAAAATTGTTGAATTTGGTCTTAACTTTGAGGCCATTTTCTGTAGGTTTTAAAAGAACTTACAGAACCATAGAAATTGGTATTTGTGCTGGTTCTTTTAAAGTGCATCTTTTTGAAAATTAATTTCAACATTAAGGCCGTATTTAAGAATTTGCCAAAGCAAATTCCTTTCTGGCCTAAAGGGTCTCGCAATGATAGCGACTCAGAGTCACTTACAGGCAGGAATTGTCAGCACATCATGGCCGAATGCAAGTTCTATGCAGATTTTCTTTCATTTGTCCGAATGTAAGTTGCTAGATGTAAAGAGGATCATAAAAGTGCCCTGCCAAGTCCCGAGCATTAGCTCCCCCCGAAAGTATTGCAAACAAACATGGAAAATTTTGAATTCTTAATGCGGGCTAGATTGTGGCAGATGGGTATTCAGGTACTCTCTTATTAGCAACAATCTGCCTGCAGTTTGCCATGTGTCTCTTTCTGTCCCGTTCTCAAATGGGCTGTCGTTCTCTTTTTGTCTCCAGGCTGCTGTTGTTGTGGTATTTAACTTTGCCATGGTTCTGCTCATCTTCCCTGCTATTCTCAGCATGGACCTTTACCGCAGGGAGGACAGAAGGCTTGACATCCTCTGCTGTTTTACAAGGTAAGGCCCCAGTGATAAGCTCACTTGTGTGAATCTCCAAAGGGTTTGTGTGTCGGATAAATGAATGAAGCCTGCGACATTCGGGTACTGTTCTCTTTACTCTTGAAAAGAGGGATGCGAATGAGCTTTATGGCTTTTTTTGATTAGATAATTTACTGGAAGCGGGATTGTTTGAAGAGCAATAAACTCACTTGGCCACTGAAAAACTACAAGATAAATCAGAAAGTTATGGTCTGTGGGCGACCGTTACAGATTTTCCCATGGATTTTGGCAGAACTGAATAATTCCATTCATATTTAAATGCTTGAAGTTGTCATTCTGTTTTACAAAATGCATGTTAATGCTGATTTTAAAGGTTCACAGGATTCCATGCTGGTCCACTCCGTTACCTTTTGGTGCTTGTGATAACAAGATCGAGATCGGTTGTGTAAAGTAGGAATGCAGGGCAGTGGCTGGGATTGGAAGGAGCTACCTGCAGCTCTTAACTAAGTCTCTCTCCATAACAGAGCCAGTTTGAGCCTAGAGGCTATGGCTGATTGTAAACTTAACTGAAATCCACCCACTACAATCTTAGCCTCTTCCCAACCCCAGTAGAACAAAGCCTGTTTTTTTTGTTGCCTTCATAGTGGCAATGTATTTCTTAAAAAAAAACATAAAGGCATATTAAACAATATGCAGAATTATTTCTAAACCACATATTAAAAAGAAATCAGAGTTTTGCATTTAATTTTCCTCCTCTTTAGATCAAATTACTTCATCTTAGACTCCATCCTACCCAGCTTGGCTCTGTTTCCTCCTGTGGTTGAATAGCCTGCTGACACTCACTGTCAAACCGCACACATGAATAATAGCCTCTTGGGAAAGGTACCCATGAAGCCTTATTCCAGTAGAACGGGGAATTTGTGTGTGTGTGTGGTGGGGGGGGGGGGGGGGGCGCGGGGATAAAATGAGTCAAAACTCAAGGGAGAAAAATTGGCAGGAAGGAAAAAAACTGATAGTAGTAATAAGGCAGTCAGAGGATTACAAGGCGTGAGAATGTTGGAGACTGCTACAGATTGCTTTCTCTATTGTTTCTTCCAGTCCTTGTGCCAACAGAGTGATTCAGATTGAGCCACAAGTATATACAGACACCAATGACAACCACCCCTACCAGCCTCCGCCACCTTACACCAGCCAAAACTTTACTCATGAGACCCAAATCACCATGCAGTCTACAGTCCAGCTAAGGACAGAATATGATCCACGAACCCAGGCATATTACACGACGGCTGAGCCTCGCTCAGAGATATCCGTGCAGCCAGTCACCCCCATTGCACAGGATTCACTCAGGACTCAGACCCCGGAGACTGCCAGCTCAACACGGGACCTTCTCTCCCAGTTTACAGACCCTAACAGTCAATGTGTGGAACCACCCTGCTCTAAATGGACTCTCTCTTCTTTTGCTGAGAAGCATTACGCTCCACTGTTGCTGAAGCCCACTACGAAGGTGAGTGGTGGAGATAGCCCTTCACCTTGGTTGTATTGTTGCCAGGAATTGAAGTGATACTAACAAGCACGGTCAAAAGAAAGCTATACCACAGTCATCCTGCCAGAAAGATAAAACCTCTGCTAATGTACCATAAGTCCGAGAGTGAATTCCTTAATTCAAAATGCCATCATTTCACGAGCACAGCTCACCAGATTTGACTAACGTTAATAACGCTTGCATATTATTCCTTTCTCCCATGTTTATTTAAAAATGAACCAGTAACTATTTCCACTTCACAGCAGTAGTCAGTTTGCAGTTAAAATTCACTGTTCACATCAACAGCCAGCCCCTCAACACTGGACATCTGTGGTGTTCCACGTGTGCGGTTGTTTCCATTTCTGCCATCACTTCTTCGGATCCTGTACCACTGAGCCGGCATTCCCAGGCTAGATCAGACCTTTGACTATATGAACTCAGTTCTGAATTATCCTGCAAAAATTAAATGCGCCATTATAGGGGTCGAATGTGTGCCGTTCACTGAAGAAAATTGATCTTTACCCCCTGAGCTCTAGAAGCAGAAGTTGTTTCTTCAAGCAGGCCCATTTTAAACTAGCCATCCAATCTAATACTTTCAGATTGTTTCATCCTTGTGAAATGATTGCACTTGGATTCAGGTGGTAGTATTTTCTTTTAGTGCGCAGGCTAAAAGCCCACTTTGTAACTGCAGTGAAATAATTATAAAATGATGTCTGCTCACAGCCACACTATTTGTCAGAATCCTGTATCCATTAACAGCGGTGCTGATTCATTCCTCATTAGGTCATTTGTTTGGGTTATGATCAAGTGTTTTCTTAGCTAATTGGATTTAATCTTATCCAGGTTCCTGTGTGTTTGAGCGCTGCAAATCTCGTTTCTGCAGTTGAACTGACTGTTCGCTTTTCTTCATGTCACAGATTGTGGTCATATTTCTTTTTCTGGGTTTACTTGGGGTCAGCCTCTACGGGACAACAACAGTCAGAGACGGACTGGATCTCACCGACATTGTGCCTCGGGATACCCGCGAATATGACTTTATTGCAGCACAGTTTAAATACTTCTCTTTCTACAACATGTACATTGTAACTAAACAAGAAGTGGACTACCCGAACTCTCAGCGTTTGCTGTATTACCTCCACAAGAGCTTCAGTGATGTCAAATTCATTTTGCTGGAAGAAAATGGAGACCTTCCAAGAATGTGGCTGCACTATTTTCATGACTGGTTGCGAGGTAAGAAGAGAACTCTTTTCATTTTTTCAGCAAGCTGAAAATTCCTATTCAAAAAATGATTGTAAAGCCACTAAATATTGTGCATGTTTATTTTAAATAATAAAAACTAAGTTTTTTTTGATAAACAGCCTCTCGGTGGCCACCAGCAGGGAATTGTGAATGTATATTTGTTAGCTTGTTGTTGACAGTAAATAAACGAGTTTGACAGAATCGGTATTATGTTGATGTGCATTGTTGTTGGGAATCTTCTTGGAATAATGGGGCCTAATTTTCAGCATTTCATACTGGAACTCCTTGGACTGATCCAGTCTAACTGACATCTTTATTAAAAATTTTGTACTGCAAGATGAACAATGGGAATTTGCATTGCAAAACCCAGCAGGTAGCATGAACCATGTCAGTAAAGTGCGCTGCAGTTGGTCTTGGTGCTGGCTGGACTGTGGGTGGGGAACATTTTGAGAGCAGATTTTGTTCTTCATTGCCAGACACTGCAATGGCCTGCAATTAATATTAACGGTAGATACAGTTGAAATTGAAAGCTGTTCTATAGAAGCTAGGATTCAAAAAATCAAACCTGTCCATAAGTTAAAATCCAACATGGCAACAAATTAACTTAATATTGTTTTTTAAGCTTGCTGCAGTGCATTATGTTTTAGTTTGGTGTCTACAGGTCTGCGAGGGAGGTTTTCCTCTAACCTCTCTCTGTCTCTCTTTTCAAATGTAAACCTCTGCCCAGAGATTCATTCACATCCCTGCCATTCAGACGAGGATAAAAGCAACCACAGATTCTGTCCTTGTATGAATTATAACATGACATACCACATGTTTCCACCCAAGGTTTTTTTTCAGGGTATTATTACTTCATTTGGTGAAAAGGTTGAGATTAAACACCAAAAACATTAACGTTGATACACAATGGTATATCCTTGGGATATACCAGCTGCCCTTTGATTTATTTAAGGCAGGAAGCAAATGCAAAACTTTGATACGCCTCCATTGTAGTAATAATAATAATCCTTGCATCTGATATAGTGCTTTTCATGTCAAGAGGATGTCTCAAATCACTTCATGGGATTTACTAAAAAGCATAGTGACTATGAATTTTGTAGATGAATGCGGCAGCCAATTTACACACAGCAATGTCTAGGAAACAGCCACAAAGCAAGTGATCAATTTTATCTGGAGATTGTTGGCCGGGAGAACAGGAGCAACTAAACTCCCTTCTCTTTTTAAATAGTGCTATAAGATCTTTAATGTCTAATTGAACAGACAAATGGGATGTTGCATTAATGTCTCACCTGTAGGGCTGTATCTCTGACACTGCAGCTCATTGACAATTTATTGCCATCCTGTGTGCTCCAATCTGAGTTTTCTTGTTGAAATATAGTGGACGCTGGAGGTTGATCATATGAAACCGTGTGAATGGCTTTGTTTGTTTTTGCAGGCTTTTTGACGGTAGGTAGTTGTGGCAGTAGGTGTTTGTGTTGATGGGCTGCCAGACAATCCAGTTGCAAGATCATTATTCAGGGAAGCCAAGTTTTGACAAGCATGAGTACAGACCGAGGCCACACTCAGTGTAGGGCTTTGAACTCACTGAGGTGGTATTTACAAATTGGTTCCTCTTCATTCCAAGGCAGGTCTGGGAATGTGCATCAAGTTTGGCAGGTGTGTGTGTGTTTTCTTGGAGTTCAATGCACATTGCTTCAAAGCACTTTGTTTTAGTTTGGTGTCTGCTGTTCTACGTGGGAGTTTTTCCTCTTCCTTCTCCTCTTCTCTCCTCTTTCCCTCCCCCTCTCCCTCTTAAACTCGACGGTGAGAGCTGAGGCCTCAGGCGATGCCATTTGTGTGCCTGGCTTTAGCCTTATCTCCTTACAGCTGTAGTTAACCTATCAGATCTGTAATGATGGTTTTGATTACAACCTCAGAGCAGCTGTGAGGTGGGTCTAAACTCCGGGGTATGTGGTTTGTCATGTGCTCGCACAGAGCCTCGTTGTAAAGGAGCTGCTGCTTCCTGTTCCAAATCTGATCCAAATTACCTGCTTGGAACAGCTAGTGATCTTCCATGTTTTTTTTAGAAGGCAGCAGAGGAAAATCGCAGTTGAGAATGAATAGGTGTTGGCTGTGATCTTTACATGTGCTGGCAGCAGATCTCACGACTTGTAAAGTGCTGCCCAACTCAAACAGATGGAATGAATTGAGGACATAGTGCTAACTCACACTGTGTTTGTGGAATGGCTTCGATGCTTTTCTTTTTTAACTACAGACTGCTTTCACCCCCATGTTGGGTGCATTTTCTACCAGTATGCTTTCTGGCAGAATTTATGTCATTTCACTGAGTGCAAAGTTTGCCTTGAATGTACTGTACCTACTGTACAGTACTACACTGTACTTCATATTTATCAATTGCATTCAGTTAAAATACTTTTTAGAAAAAAATATAAAAAGTGAACTGTACGCTTAAATATACTTAATTTGCAGCATTGCAGTGAGGTGAAACTGAATTTTGTTCTGTGGCTATTACATTACATAGCCTATTTTTCACCCCCAGTTTATGTACTTTAGTAATAATTGCTGTCTTGAAGAAAATTTTGCCGATCTGCAATCTTTTTTGTTTTTTTCTACAAGTTTCAAATTCAGCAACTACTTTTATTTTCTTATGTTATTTTTATTTTGTTGATGTTGTTAATTTTCCTAAATTTTTGTAAGATTCTGCTCAAGAGGGTGGATAATAACCTGCTCATAGACTGTCTCTTAGGCTCATTCTACTCTTGTGACCAATCAATAGGGGGCAGACATGAGCAAATCACGTTGTGTGGGATATCCAGGCACTGAGTAGCTCATTCACAGTTTAGTTTGCATATTCTTAAGCATGATGATGGGTTTCCGGATGGGTCAGACATACGGCTGACCAAACAAAATAATACAAATAATTTGACATCTGCAACTTTCTCAAATACAGGCTGTACTACTGTAATTGCTAAATCAGCTACTAAAATAACATAACCACATGTAAACTATTTGACATTTTCCTGCATAAATCGCAAATTATGATTTAGATAATTAAGATTAAAGTTTATTAATAGCTGATATTAATGATTTAATAATAGCTCTTTTACTACTAATAATAATCATTGCATGTAATGTAGTACCTTTCACTTCAAGAGAATGTTTCGAAAGAGTTTCATAGGATTTAATGTATAGCGAGTGTGTTTTGTTCCACAAACAGCCATGGAATATGAATTAATCCTATATTCTGTAATTACTAAATTCTTTAATTTTGAAAAAAGGTCATTGGACACCATACAACCTAAAAAACGTTTACTTTTTTCCTTCGATTTTCCCTGTCACTCCTCCTCTCTTGAAGGTGGTACTTCCCGCTGGGTATAATTCCATATGTGGCACTGGTTACCCTCAGATACCTTATCCAAGTCGCCCCTTTCCCTGTTAACAGCCTGAACAATGAGACTCAGCAGAATCCTTGACCATGGGAAGCATTAGAGCTGAGCTGATCCTGTCCTCACCTCGTGTTCACACGTGTGATCTCCAGCTGAGCTTGCTGGATGGCAATCCGGACAGAAACTCTTGGCAATCTTTTCCCTCCTTCGTACTGAAGCTAATTGTTTATGCCCACTGCAACACTGGCTGATCTCAGTTAACTCAGATGATGAATAGTAAGAATGCATCTCCATGGTCTCCTTGGTCCCCCAAATTATGTACAGCCGCAGCATCACTTGGTGTCAGACATTGATCCCACAAACGGTTTCTATTTACCAAAAATCAGAGTCCGATTACTGCTGATCAATCGTCCTTACCCTTGAACATTCCCCAACATATAAACGCGAGCATGCACACATGAACACTCAGGTACACACGTGAATACGCACATACATGTGAACAGGCACGCACACTTCAATTATTGTGGTGCACATTACTTGTGCTGTAATATTAGTATTTAAATTGTAATGATACATGAAATGTAATCACTGCTTTGGTGTTCTGCATTGTGCTATTTACAAAACATTTCAACTTCCTATCTGCTTAGGCCTGCAAGACTCCTTCGACCGGGAATGGCAAGCTGGGAAGATCACTTACAACAACTACAAAAATGGGTCGGATGATGGTGTTCTTGCCTATAAGTTGCTGGTTCAGACCGGCAACAGGGACAAACCTATCGACTTAAGTCAGGTACAAGCTTTGTAAAGAATTCAACTGGCTGTGCTAGGAAATACGGTGCTTATTTTCTTGCTGAAAATCTAGAAATTAGCCAAATGGCTTCTGTCCTCTGAGTTGAAAAGTGCAATCCAAATTTCCTCTTGACGTTTTCAACGGCTTCTCTTGTAGTGATACATAAGGTCTGCACATGGCTTGTGCACACGGGGTTACAGATCTACAAATTTTTATTGTCTGCATCCATTAGGAACGTGAAGCCTCAATGGAAATGGTAGTGAGCGCTGAAAAAAAGCAATTAGTCCTCGCTCAGGCCATTTGTCTATTTTTTTCCCTTTTTCTGGCAGAATACCATCAATAATGTTCTGGGGGAGAGATCTGCTTATTCTCCACCGTGCTCGCCATATTCGAGATGACAGTTTTACAGAGTACATTGTTCAAGTTATTATGTGGTGTAAAACATATTACTTTACTGCAGACTACAGCGGGCCAGTTAACACTGAAAGAATTAAGACACAATCGCTGATTTAGAGTTGCCCTGGATGAGTATATAGTGTAGTCAGCTTTCAAATACAGTAGTTTGTTCTTTGCCAGGTGTAACTTGTGGGACCAGTGTCAGACTGTAACTTCTTATGTAATTTCCTGTGCCTGGGAGGGAGAAAAGTGTGCCATGCCCACAGGGGTTGCTCCCCGCACTGTTCAATTCCAAAGACAGCTGAAGACATACAGTTGCTGAGTATCCCATGCATTAATTGAATCCAGAGCCTGGAAATCAAACCTCTTTTTTTCATGCTGCTGTCACAGTTTGTGTTTTACTTCATTCAAAAAAGAGACCTGAAATGGGAGCAGGGCCAGTGTTGTTTTTTTTTTAAAAAGTGCATATTTTCCATACATTTAATTTCCTTTTTTTTAAAAAAATGCATATTTTGGCTGTTTCTTCTTTTCTCTTCAGTTTCTTCCCCCAACCCCCCTCCCGCACTTTTGCCTTCCCCTCCCCCACCGTGAACTAAGCAGGATCGCGCTCCTGTCTGTTTCTTGGCGTGGTGCATTTTCCGAATATACATAGGTCAGGAGAAGCAAGTGCTAGCAAAATTTGTACAGATGTTGTTTTATTTTTATAGCTCTCCTCCATTTGCTGGGTGGCATTTCCTTCAGTGTTAACAACAGAGGTTAACTGCACACAGACGTGCACAGGGACTCTTGCCAAATTTTCTTTCCTTTTTTTGTATTCTTAGGCTAACTGTAGTGTCGTTCCTTTTTTTTGTACAAGGAACATTAAGAAAAAATTGCTTAAATTTGTCAGCGAAAGGACTTATCCGAAAACAAACTACTTGGTTATGTTTTCAGTAACATCTTCAAGAGAAAACTTGGTTGAGATTTGTTGCCTTTGCACTATTGAAGCAAGATCACTTGGCCATTTGTAACATGAATTCTACTCGTGTTTGTTGTTGCGGGGAGAGTAAGGTCTTGGCCTACGGTTGTGAGGTATTTTCACAAAAGGAAGACCCTGAACCAAGCAGTTGTCTTCTTGTTGCAGTTGACCAAACAGCGTCTAGTTGATGCCGATGGAATCATCAACCCCAATGCTTTCTACATCTACCTGACTGCCTGGGTCAGCAATGACCCTGTGGCCTACGCTGCCTCTCAAGCCAACATCCGACCACATCCCCCTGAGTGGGTCCATGACAAGGCCGACGACATGCCAGAAACCGAGCTCAGAAGTAAGTAGACGGTTCCAAGGCGTTGATCTTCCCTCCATTGGATGGCAATGTTACACACTCCCATTTCTTCATCAGATGGCTGTTTGGACTCACTGCTCTAATGGTTATAAATTGCACCATACCTCAATTGCAGATGCATTTGTGAGATTTAAGAATAAAGTTACTCAGACTAATTTCTGCAGCTAAATGAAGTTAACACAGTAGAAAGGCCAATATCTGTATCAACTTGGACATGTGAACATGATGAAGGAACAGGTCATCACACAAAATACAAGCCACTCTTCATTTAACTCGGGTTTGCTTATAGTGTAAGTGAATTGTACTGAAAGAAGAATCTCCCACTGTCAGTTTAAATACGGACATGAGGAACACTATTGTTATTGGATTATTAAGAATGATTATGCGCTTATGAAGGATCTAGTTTTGTGACTATTATTACCTGCAGCTAAAAGGTCATTTTGTGATGCAAAAGCTCTCTTATGTTTTTCTTTTTATTAACTGCAAAGTCTATATGACACTTCCACCTCATCCCCCCTTAAAACAAAATGCAATAAAAACAAGGGCGAAAATCTTCCCCATTTATTTTGTTCAACCCTTTGTTCCCGACCTTGTAATATCTGCCTGCAGTAATATCTGCTGAAAGTCACCCCATAGGTGTCCTTTGCCCTCCCAGGCTGCTCTGTCCTCCTCGCACAAGACACGGCAATAGCCACTGTACTCTTGTTCTCAGGTAGTAAACTCTTCTGTGCTATTATTCCCTTCTCTCACTGGGGCAATCGTCCGCTTGGTTAAACGCTCTCTTTCTGATGCGTTGGTCCTCTTTAACATAACCTTAAACGTCGCCTTCAGAAGGTAACTGAAGATTTGAACTCTGGTTTCTGGGCGTTGGAAGTTGAAACATCACGTGGAACCAAACTGTTCCCTGTTGTTGCAATTTTCTCTGGTATTTCGCTTACAATTGTCCACGTTTTCACTAAAAATATCGGGCACCTCGGATTAGTACAGACGCAAAGAGTTAATAACTAATTCTTATTTTTGTTATAGCGCCTGTTACATTATGTCTCAAAGCATTTCACAGGATTTACTGGGACGTGGGGTGACTGTATTTGTATGTAAATGTGGCAGTCCAAATATGCACAGCAATGCCCCACAGACAGCTGTGAAACGAATGACCAATTTTATTTGGGGGGGGGGGTCGTTGGCCAGGACACTGAAAGAAATTCTCTTCTCTTGCCCAGTGCGTGCAGTGATGTGATTTGACTGTGGATTGAAACTTAACCGCACTTCATCAGAATCATTCTGAGGGGGGTTGGCTACGCAGGGGAGGAGAGGGCAGTGGAGGGAGTCCCGGTGTCTCTGGGAGAGGACTCGGATTGATTTAATTTCAATGCCGGTTTCAGTTGTGTGGCTGCCTGCTAGTTGTGGTTATTGGTCTGCGGAGCGGGCTCCTGGAAATGTGATTGGATAATGAGGCTTCACTGTATTCTAAACCCTGGAGCCTGGTGGCAGTCAGCCAAGGCTTGTCTTAATGAAAATTTATAGTTGAGATTATAATAGGGCAAATCATGTTTAGCAAGTCAGCTGAATGACCCTGCAGGGTCTGGAACACACAGCAGCAAAAAGCTAAATGCCAGTTTTGTTGGGAATTTTTTCAGGAAAGACATGCATTTTAAAGTGTGCCTGTCTGGGGGGGAGAAAACCAAGGCAGTCAGTCAAAAATATAGTTGGAGTTGGAGATCTGCTTTTTTTTATTATTTTGATTCAAAAAAAAAAGCTTTTGTTGTTGCATTGTATGATTAAACCTTGATTCACCAGCTAATTACATCTCAATAATTCCTCAGTATTTTTAATACCACTGAGCCCACCCAGATGTTACCTCCAGAGGTAAATTCAAAGGGTGGATCTATCGAATATTATGATTTTACTGTAGTGCACCTATCCATTCGCTGGATTGTTTTCTGACTAACTTTTATGTTCAAATATTTGTCTCAAACGGTATATCTTTCACAAATGTTTTACAGACCTCATCCACATCTTATTTAAATAGATTCCCCCCCCCCCCCACTTTTCTGGTTTTGAAAGCCCCTGACTGTGACATAACAGCGAAAATAGTTTTAGTGTTCCGTTGCTAAAACAATTCTGATTTGTATAGTAGCACACACTTGTGGCACTACTGATAAAAATAGAAGTATGGGAAATGGCTCTAATGTTCAATATCCGTAAAAGGGGTTGGGAAGTGAAGTGGAACGATGGCATTTTGTTTCTCCAGTGTTTTTTCCATACGTATTGATAATATTTTAATCTTTTAAGCTCTCCCAGTCACTACCTGAAGGGCAAATTGTTTTTACTCTTGTTGTGATATAGTAATACTTGCATTTGCGAAAGCATTGTAGCAAGTCGAAATGTCTCAAAACACTTAAAGTTTTTTTTGTAAAGTGTAGTAACTATGTATTTTGTAGATGAACACGGCAGCCAATTTGCGCACTGCAGTGCTCCACAAACAGCCATGAAGCAAATTACTTTTTTAAAAAACACTGGCAGCTTACAGAAATCACAATTAGCTGTTTTAGAAATATCACAAAATTGGCAAAATACAAGTCACATCTTACACTTCACACTTTTTTTGCAAACATCACACATAGGGTCCAGAGCATTTCTTTATTTTTTTAATTGATTTTATTTGGTTTGATATAATATATTGTTATATTGAAAATTACTGCAGTCATCATCAACTCTTAACTTACAATCGGTAAAATGAAGTCAACAGTGTTTTTTTTAACACGCTATTTCACGTTTAGTTCCAGCAGGCGAGTCTATCGAATATGCCCAGTTTCCTTTCTACCTCAACGGGCTGCGTGAGACACCAGACTTCGTGGAGGCAATTGAAAATGTCAGAAATATCTGCAGTAACTTCACCAGCCAAGGAATTGCCAGTTATCCGAACGGATACCCGTTTCTTTTCTGGGAACAGTACATTGGGCTTCGACATTGGCTGCTCTTGGCCATCAGCGTGGTGCTAGCCTGCACATTTCTGGTGTGCGCTCTCTTCCTCCTGAACCCCTGGACTGCTGGGATCATTGTAAGTTTACAAGGGGCTTTGTTGCTTCTGAATTCCTTTCGGTACAGCTCTTGCTGCAGTCGGGAAGGGATTTGTTTATGTCTGGGCCTCTGGTGGGGTATGCATGTGACATCATTCATGAAATGTTTATTCGCCTTGGAAAGATGACGACTGAAAATTTAAACAAGGGAAGAAAAGCCCCAAGTCCTGGGCTCACATTTGCACAAGAATTTAAATTCTTGTTTTCTTAAAAAAAATATTTTTTAAAAAAATTATTTCTCGAGATGACTTTTTGAACATTTGTCCCAAAATCTATGCAAGAAGTGTTTTCTTGATTTGACTAATTCTGCAGTGATGCCGTAATTGCAAAAGTTGTGCAAAATAATTCCAGATGTGAATTAATTAACTAGTACTGGATTGCAAACTTTGTCTAAGTAAACATGTTTTATGAAGGAAAATGTTTAGTCTGCAACGTGTGTGTTTTTTTTGGATGAAATGTTCAAATAATTTAGGGTATTACTTGAAATTTCATTAAGACTCATCAAGTTGTTTTTAACAGAAACCCCTTTATTTGTGTCAGTCGAGATCTGAAAGTAGAATTTACTTCCCTATTTTTGGTGGTTTATTGGAGATCTTTTAGGCTCCACAGCCTGATCAATTGGTGGGACCAGTCTGCTTTTGAAAGCCATCTTTCCTAGCTAAATGAAAGGAAAGCTTTGCCTTTGCTTCAGATTTAACTGCAGTCAGGCTGGTGGTTTGGTGCTTTTTTTAAAAAAATACAAAGAGGCCTCTGTAATCTGACACTCATCAGCTGATAATGGCATTTACTCTTCAGGGGCGCTTTGGTCTACCCCGAGAGTCATCTTCACTTACTGAGGATTTCTCCAGAACTGTTCTAAATAATCCAGCTTTCTCTTTTGAACGAGTTAAGCATCGACTTGAAACGGAAGTTTTAATCCCTGCCAAGGAGCACCTCGGTTCCAGTACTGTAGTGTTTCCGATGTTGAGAGGGTTCCTGGCAGCATTCTTGCTGGGAATTCCGCCTGAGCCTGTCCCAATACTGGCTGGTTTCAACTGAGGTAGAAGCTTTTTTCTTGGGTTGCCCTCTCCTCATTTCAACAAGAGTTTTGAATGAGATCCACGGCATGATCTGATGAGTGTTTGATGGACTGAATTGCTTTTCCCCATTCCGTGTTTCCTTATGTTCTTAAATTCATTGCTTTTCCCTTCTGAGAATCTAGAAACAAATGATCATATTTCTTATGGTAATATATATATTTGTATGTAATGTTTGACAATTTGTTTTGTTCTCTCTGAGAAGATCACCTAGATCTTTTGAATGGATAATAAATTGCTTAATTTCCCTCAATTTAGGTCTTAGTCCTGGCACTGATGACTGTGGAGCTTTTTGGAATGATGGGACTGATCGGGATAAAACTCAGTGCAGTCCCTGTCGTGATCCTGATCGCTTCTGTTGGAATAGGGGTGGAATTCACCGTTCACGTGGCCCTGGTAAGTAAACACTTGTTTATTCCTTTTGCGGGAAATATTTGGAGTGCATTTATGAGCCAATGGCTTATCACACTACCTGTGTCAACAACGCTGGTCTAAAGCACTGCTGGTGATCATGATTTTAATCAGGGGCAAATTCTGACCTTATGGCCAAATTGTGGTATAATTCCAGAACTCGACTCTGGAACTAGATCACATTGGAGTTCCTACTGGTTGGCATAGTTCCAGGTAACAGGAGAAGACTTCACTTGGCGACTCTTGGTTCCACTTTAAGGAACTCAGTGAAGAAATACCACAAAAATAATCTCTCCCAGCCAATTTCCCAATGACCTAGCACTCACTGGGGTAATATCAAATGACGTCTGCAAATAAATAGCTATTTCTGTTGCGGGTTTATAAAAAATCCTATTTTAGATTGGTAAACGTTTCTATTTTTAGCAACTGTGTGGTATGTATATTTTACATATAAAATATACTTGGAGCTCAAATTTTACTGATGGCACCAGCATTGATTCGATTCTGAAACTACTTCCTAGAGGTGGAGTCCAGAGCAGGACTGAAAAGTCAACAAAGACTTTTGGGGGTGGGATGGAGGGTCAGCCAAGTGGCTGACACAGGTGGCATTGGCATGCTTAAACCTTTCCAAACCAGTCATGCCACCGAATTCAAATAAATAAACCACATTGAGATCCCCACTAAGCGTGAAGCATCGTCAATCAAAGAGGTAAGGAGCAAAAGTGTAGGTTCCCATTCGTATGAAAGTGCATGCACTGATTGAGTTTGTCTTCTGGCAGAAATAAACCATAAGGTGTGGCCCTGTTATAGCAACTTCTTTATAACACTGATACGGTTATAATGCAGTTACAGTGTGTGTTCACTGTGCGTGTGTGTATGTATATATATGTGTGTGGGTGTGTGTGTATATATATATATATATATAATATATTTGTATATACATTATATTCCCTCCATATGGTTCAAGTCAGCACTAAATGATCATAACATTTTCATGACTTCTGAATATGCTGTGCTTTCTTTACTTTTTTTAAAATACTGCATGTGAATATCAGACGACCTTTCTTTTTTCTTAAAAAAGAATGAAATGTTAGCATTTTTCCTACCCTGCCTATTTAATACAAATTCATGCAAAAGGTTCATCCTGCCGGGTATAATCACTAACAGCCAGTGTGTTACTTAGCTGTTGGGCAGCTCTTTGCACGTTTGCTGCTATGCACTTCCTTCAGTAAACACAGAGGTCTGATTACATTGATCTTTATCGCCTGTAGGCATTTCTGACTGCAATTGGAGACAAGAATTGCCGTGCAGTTCTGGCTCTGGAACACATGTTTGCACCTGTGTTGGACGGGGCTGTATCTACTCTACTCGGGGTTCTCATGCTTGCTGGGTCTGAGTTTGACTTCATTGTCAGGTAAAATCCCTTCTTTGAATCTTGTCCTGATTCACAGAGTAGGATGGGAATTTTAATCACGAGTTTCAAGGCAATGGCAATTTTTATCAGCCTTGCGTTTAATATTTGTCGTTGGTCTTTTTTCGATGTGAAATATTTTGTCACTTTGCCAAAGTTGTTTTTTTTCTGGTGAAAATGCTGTCAGTGCCAATGTTTGCACAATGGATAGTAGGCGAGATCCTTTTGATCTGTTTTTTCTAGCTCTGTTCCAATAATCACTGTTGGTGGTCTTTTATGATAATAAAAACGAGATTTGAATGGCTATGCCTTTTGTGTATTGTTTAGCGCCTTTAGCAGTCCTCCTGATGTGAAAGGTGCTATACAAATGTAATTTTGTTGTTGTTATTGCCAAATATTGTATCAAGGTATTCTCATTTTAAGAGCATAAGCGGCAAAAATTGCACAAAGAAAATAGAAGCACGCAGCTATAAGAAGTTGAGAGATGGGAGGAAAGAAGCCAGAAAATGCCAATAACCTCTTCACCTATATGTTCAAAACTGCATCTCTTTTAAGGCATACTTTTTAGAAATCCTATTTTCCTCCTTTTTTTAATAGAGAAGTTACCTTTGATAACAAAACCATCATTGTGGCTCCACATATTTTTGGTTCCGCCCTCCCCCCTGATAGAACCATAGAAATTTGCAGCACAGAAGAAGGATATTTGGCCCATCATGTCTGTTCTAGTTCTTTCAAGAGCAATCTTTTCAGTCCCATTTACCTGCCCTTTCCATATACCTCTGTACTTCACGTTTCCCATAGCCCCATCCACACTTGCATGCACACATACAAACAAAGATACGTGTGCACACACACACATACAAAGAATCATCAGTTTTCTAAATGGTAAGCTATTACACTGGCCTGTTCAGAAGAATTAACAATTCTATTACTCAGTAGCTACTACTCTTGCCAGTGATAATGTCATCAGGTTGTTCCATTATTGTAAAACATTTGTCAAAATGAATGAGACTTACACTACATCAATTTTATGTTTGTACTAAACTGTACATCTGACTAGATGAGGATTATAGGCAGTCGATTACTCACTTTGAATAGATTAGTTATTTCTGTAATAGACTAAGTAATTCAAGGAAATAGGGATAGTCGATCTAACATATGCTGACATTAAAAAGCCTTACACATTTTTACATTCATAATGGAAAGTGCCATTTTAAAGAATAACAAAGATGTCCTTATTTTTGCCTCAGTCCAAATCAAACCTAGTGAAAATTATTATGCATGATTGCGCAAGCCATGTGTACAGGCGAATTAGAGATGCTGCCCTTATTTATGTAAACAACAACCAATACTTACCATTGGTGTTGATCAGGGTACATGGGTTTACATGTGGTTTACATATGGTTTGCACACATCACATACTTGTTTTTTGTAAGAGAGGTCATTGATAGAAGGAGTATAATGGAACAATATGCAATTTTAAAAACATTTAGAAGCTGTGCTCAAACATTCAGAAGTAGGGACTGTAATATGATGCATGGGAACACTCGAGGCTTTCACAGAGCTGCCTATGACTAGCAGCCGTGGCCTTAAAATCTTTACCAGCGGCAGCAAAGAGCGGGGCAGTGGATGGTGGCGCATGAAAGCGAAGAAACCATTAGCTAAAATATTGTGTCTTGCTTGCTTGCCTCTGGTGGTTTTGTTTTCTGGCTGGTCGACCAGCCCATTGTTGTGCTCCAGTGTTTGTCAAAGGAAGTACTCTGCAAGGTTGTATTCTTCCATTGGCTGACCTGACCTAACCCTTGACCTGCTAAATTTCCAAATTTTTTAAGAAATCAGTTTAAGCGAGGAACGGTAAATCCCCTGCATCAGTTAGAACAACAAAGGTCACGAATATGATGCTCTTGCAGCGTTTAAACTGTCTCAGGGTTGTTGCTCAGTGCTGAAGGAAAACTGTGACACGCAGGTTTAATTAAGGAGGCTGAGTAGATTTTTTTGCATGAGGGAATTTGAGAAGTGTAGTGTAACAGACGCCTTTCTACTCCAAACAACCTGTGGAGCTTTGCAAAATGGCTAATGCTAGCTTTAACACTGGCCCTTTGTGGCAGGCTACAGTGGCAGAGAGAGAAGGGAGCACAGGGGAGAGCTAAGGCAGGTGTGAAACAGGGCAGAATAAATAAATAACTAGGCCCGAGGCCTGTTTGGAGGCCTCACAGATGGCTTGATAATTCTGGCCAACATGGCACTATATCGATGGCTGCTGGAAAAAAAANTGAGCCAGTAAAAATAAATAATTTTCGGGATTGCGAGTAATGCGTTGAAATGCACGTGGTTTTATGAGGGTAATTTCCCCTTCAGATGTTTAGATAGACAGAGAAGGGAAGTTAATGCATCAAATGAAATGTGTGTATTCGTTACTTTTAGCATTCAATCCTCCTTTGTGTCAACTTTTCAGCTCCTAAGAATAATATTTTAAGCCATTCATTAAATCAAACTATTTGTTATCTGATGAATAATTTCTCCAGTAGATTGATTTCAAACTAACTTTCAAATGCCTCCACATCGTTGAGCCCCATCCCTACTGATAATGATCAACTGTAGTCCCTCTCTGTCTCCCCAAATCCCTTGGTCTCATACCATCAAAATCTTTCAGGAAAAAAACTGTCTCCTTTGATTGTGGTTTCACTCACTTCTCTCCCATCAACCATCTCCTGTCCTGTGAGGACGCCAATCCCATCTGTGTAAAAGCTCTTCAAAATATTATCCTACATGAAAAGTGCTATATAAGTGCAAGTTTTTTTTCAGGAATTCCAATGAAGAGAGCTGAGAACATTTTTCCCCCAAAAAAATCCATTATCCTATAGTTTCTAGTTTGAACTAAAGTCAACATTTTTATCGGACTCCTTTCTCCTTGAAACTTGCCAGCAGCATTATTTTACTGGGCAGTGTGCCTTCTGGTGAAATATCTCTCCTGCCATCCGGCTGGTGACATAGCAAATCAGTAAAGCTTAATTGCTCCAGCACAATTGAAAGCACCCCATTCTATGAAATATGATGGCTGTTTGTCTTGAAAGAGTAAGAGAAAGTGAGCAGTCATGCTTTAAAATTTCACTGGGGGTAGAGAATCATCCCACACAGCTCCTGTTAACCCTGCAAGCCAAAGCCCTAGCAGGTAGGATGGTCCTGGCTGGACAAGCAGTGGGAAAGCTTGCCAGATACTTTATAATGGAAATAAATTCTCTCACCTGGGAAAATTATTTTGGAACTATTGATTCCTGCTGGTAATCAGATGTGTAATACACTGACCGGTAAGAACTGTGCTGTGACACGCTCGGAAGGAGTTTGTATTGAAGCACTGAATTACGATTTTTATGAACCCTGTAATAAGTAATGTATTTTTGACCTTCACCGCCTCATGCCAGTCAAATGCAAGGTATGGCATTCCCAGCAACTTCTGTTTTTATTTCAGATTTCCAGCATCTACAGTATTTTGCCTTTTGTTTAACTGCCCTGTGTTCTTCAACAAACTGGCTTCTGCTTATGTAGTAATTCAGGTGCCCGTTAATGAAACATTGCCTTTTTTGGTTCTCCACAATCTTCATTAGCAAAATATGATAATACAGCAACACAAACTATTAGGTGTTAAGACGAGGAGGTAAATTTGTGAAGTATAGTATTAAGATGATAGCGGTAAACATGTGAAATACAATAAGGGCTAAATTTGTGATTGTTATGTTAAGACAATGGACGTACAGTTGTGAAGTGTAGTGTTAAGATGTTAGGGGTATATTTGTGAATTATGTAGTTAAGACAACATAGATACATTTATGAAGTCTGATGTTAAGAAGATGACAATAAATTTATGAAGTATAATGTTAAGACGATGGCAGTAAATTTGTCAACTATATTATATTGTAAGTATATTCGTGGAGTCCTGTAGCTCAGTGGTTAGAGAACTCACTTTGTAAGTGAGAGACCTGGGTTCGATTCCCGGCAAGGTGAAACCTTGGGTAAGTTTTCTTATTCCAGACGCCTGATAATAATCCCTTAAGAAAAACAAACAATGATAAATTGGTCACTTCAATCCACAACTGTTTGTGGGACACTGCTGTGCGCAATTGGCTGCTGCATTTCGCCCACAAATATACAGTCAATTCACTTTACAGTCTATTCTGCGAAATGCTTTGAGACGTCTAGAAGACGTGAAAAGCGCTATATCAAATGCAAGGATTATTATTATTATCTCTCAATATCCACATCTGGACAGATTGGGCAGACTCAGGTGGCAATTTAACACAGATTAGAAACGACTTTGGACCATAACATTTTAAAAGGTAAAGCTTGACTACATATAAAATGGGCACCTCCCGTCTTCCAAGTTCAGTCTATTTAATACTCGGAGCCTGATTTTAACTATGAGAATCAAGTTTACACATTTTTTTTTCCTCCCGTTTGTTTAGATTGAAGAGATGTCGGTGTAATTAATGCCTGCTTGATTTTGTGACTTTGTCTCGTTTTACAATTTTTGAGCCTTGACCTGCAGTTATTTATTCAAGTCAAATGTAAAATAAACATAGATTTTCTTTTCTGGCAGGGTGGGGGGGTAGGGGTAAGAATGGACTGTACACAAAGGACAAAAATAGAGAGGGGGCAGGGGGAACAGAGCTCACTGGCCAAATTACTAAATTACTGAAGCAAATTACTGCAACAGATGCAATGCATTTGAGGTGCTCAGAAATAAAATACTGTTGTTTGCAATAATGTGAGACAGATGAGATACAAATGGCACCAGAGTGCATTGCTGACATAAAACATGAAATAAATAGCAGTGAATGATCAGACTCCATTGGGGACAGTAGCAAATCTGGAATTAAGGCAAATAAGAGTTATGTTTGCTGCCATTCAGTGTGGTTGTGTGTGTGTGTGTCTATATATATATGTATATATATATGCACATATATAATAGATAATCCTTGCATTTGATATAGTGCTTTATCACGTCTTTGAGACGTCTCAAAGCTACAGAACTGGCAGCATTTTATAGCAGAATGCTGGTTTATGCTTTGTAAAGGATTACAATTTGAGCTATTTAGTAAACTATATATATACACACACACATATTAAATAAAACATAAGTGTGTATTTGGACAGAGTGAATGTGGCAGTTTGATGCACCACAATACAATGAGACAATAAAGTGATCCTTTACACTTGCAAATCCCTCAAACCTACCTACCTAAGGTTATGCCCCTGTAGCCATTACTCGTAAATGTGCCCATATGTTTAGTCTGAGTCCCAGCTGTGTCAAATACCAATGAGTTAGACCTTCTCTTGCAGTTAAAAGCTTACCTTGATATTCGTGAAGACTCCCAGTCCACAGCCTGCAGTGGTGGGAATGGACAACCACTTGGGACGATTTTCCTTTTTCACCAGCGCTCGAGCTTTTATGTTTGAAACGTTGACGCAAAACAAGAGCATTCATAGATGCTAAATTGTGCAACAAAAGATTGAGTTTGCAGTGCAGTGATGCTATTGTGAAGTGCTCTTATCAAATACAATGCTGGAATCTGCTATAGAACTGGCAGCATTTTATAGCAGAATGCTGGTTCATGCTTTGTAAAGGATTGCAATTTGAACTATTTAGTAAAACTAAAACCCAGCATCTCTGAGGACTGCAGGCAGAAAGTTTTGATTAGTGTTGTGAGAGGAAACCTACTTGATACACTAGAGATTTAATTAGTGATTCTGTTGTGAGATGCAGCAGCATTTCAGACTGGATTAGTTGCCTGAAACTCTGCCTCTCCTGCCTCTAGACTAAATTGTTTAAATTCTGCACCCTTTACTTCATTTGTTTGCTTCTGCTGAGGTTAAGGCAATGGGGCGCCTTTCATTGTGCATGTTCTATGGGCCTATTCAGTCATTCAATCCACGTTCCATATTTTTCTGTGTGTGTAACAAACCATTCATGAATAACAGTCCATGCTCTGTGTTTGTCAATAAAAATTAACAAACTAATGCACTTTGTTCTTTTCTTTTGGTCAACTAACACTGTTGGTTGTGGGATGTAGCCTGACTGATGTGAAAGGTAATGATTTGCCCCGCTACCTTTTGTGAATCTGTATTTACACTTAGGTAAATGAATTTTGATCCATAATAAGTTTGGTGTAAGTGATGAAGATGCAGGGAATTAATTATTGCCATTTCTTATCCCTTTTCTAGGTACTTCTTTGCAGTCCTGGCCATTTTAACTATTCTGGGTGTTCTGAATGGATTAGTGTTACTTCCTGTTCTTCTTTCATACTTTGGACCGTATCCTGAGGTAATTTTTTTCAGTCCTTCATTATTTTTACCTTTATTAGTTTTTACAATGTTTTTAAATGCAATAGAGGCCTAAGTCTCCAGGAGACCGACCGGACAGCTGCAGCCATGAGTAAATGCTGTCTTTGAAAAGGGCAGAAAATATATTTTTCCACAATTCAGCCAAATCTCACTTCATTTCTAAAAAGGCTTTAAAGTGATGACTTTGATCAGGCCACAGAGCACTGAACACCTCTGTTGCGCCTGCCTCACTCCATGGCCCTGGACACACATAATTATTGCTGTGGAACATGCGTGTGGCCCTGCTATTCAGTTTGTATTTTAACCAGGTTTCCTAAACCAGGTTTATTCCCCCAGAACATTTTATGGTCCTGAAAGTGGGTGATGGCTGTGCCTTGGGGACTGAATCCGTTTCAAAGGAAAATTGTACTTTGGGGGGGAAAGGGGGGCATCATCCTGTAGGTCAGTAGTTAGAGCACTCGCCTCGCAAGCGAGAGACCAGGTTTCGATTCCCGGCAGGGCGAAATGTTGGGCAATTTTTTTTATTACTCCACACGCCTCTGTGTACCTAGCAGTAAATAGCAACTCAGTTGTTAGTCGATTGGTGGATTGCTTTTCTGGGGATAATAATTCCTTCAAAATAAATACATTTTTCACTACAATCCACAACTGTTTGGGGGAGACTGCTGTGCGTAATTGGCTGCTGTGTTTGCCCACAAAGTATATAGTCAAATCATTTTACAGTATATTCTGTGAAGCGCATTTGAGATGTCTCGAAGACATGATAAGGTGCTATATCAAAGGCAAGGATGATGATTATTATTATTCACCTGGAGTTAGAGTTTAAATGGTTTTAACCTTAAGCAGGTGTGTTGGAACTGAAGCTGGGTGGCTTAATATCTGTGAACTAAAGTAATTAGTGGAAAGATATCATTATCCAGTGGGGTAACCCTGACCAATCTGCTTCGGTGCCCAATACAAAGACATTAACATCACTCCACCTACTTCAAAGGAATGGTTTCTGGTGACAGGAGGGACGTGGAACTGATCGTTCCTGGCATCTTCTCTTTGCAGGTCTCATCCTCGGATGGAAGAAACCGGTTACCTACTCCGTCACCGGAACCTCCACCTCGAGTTGTGAGGTTTGCACTCCATCCAGAGCGCGTGAATAAAGGGTCGGATTCGTCAGACTCTGAGTGCAGCTCACAGACCACAGTTTCAGGGATCAGTGAAGAGCTTCGTCAGTATGAATCCAATCCAAGCAGAGCTCCACCAGGCCATCAAATCATGGTGGAAGCAACAGAGAATCCAGTCTTTCCCAAGTCCACTGTAAGTAAAACTTTATTTACATACAAAAGTCACTAAAGTTAGATACTGCATTTGAAGCGGTATTCAAAAAATGTGACAAACCAAATTCATTTTAATCAAGGCGACTTCTCTGACATCTTGTAGGTTATATCATTGCTAAGGACTTAACCACTTAAAATTCAAGTTGATGGGATTGACCTGTAATGTTATCTTCACCAAAGTATGCAACTTGAATATCAGACAATGATTTTGGACGTGTGTGGACTGATTGTTGGCTTCGTTCATAGGTTGTTCAGCCAGAATCCAAGTATCATCGACCAAGACCAAGGCCACCACCTCAACAGGACACCAGACCACAGCCCGTGTGGAGGAGCTGCCGGGACCACAGCGCGGATGTGAGGGACACTGTACGGCCCCCTCCTTGCAGACCGCGGACAGACGCTTTTGAAACTGGTCCTGAAGGCCATTCTGGATCCAGCCACACGGACCGTTCAAGTCACAAATCCCGTTCTCACAAGACGAGGAACTCAGCATTCACTGCCACCGGTGCTGCTGCCCCAACGTACTGTCAGCCTATCACTACTGTGACTGCTACAGCCTCCGTTACTGTGGCTGTTCACCCTCCCATGCCCAATCAGAATGTATATGGAGGCTACCAACATTACGAGGGGTTCAGTGAAACAGATGAAGGAGCGTTTGCAGATCCTCATGTGCCTTTCGATGCACGTCACGAGAGAAGAGACTCAAAGGTGGAAATTTTAGAGTTGCAGGATGTTGAATGTGAAACGCAACAGAGTAACGTCAGTAAGAGAACAAATTAGGTAAGTGTCCCAGGGAAATTAAATGTCAGGCTTGTGACCATTGAAAACTATTACAACATATCTATCTCTTAAATTGTTTGAACGGGATAGGTTAGCGGAGGATGAATTTTTAACTGAAAACAAACTCCTAAAAACTAACATAAAAATGTTACGAAAAACCTAGATACCGATATAACCCAGGTTGTGTTCCAAGTGTTTAAATTTTGAAAATGAACCCTTCCCCTCCTCTCCCCCATTTCAATCTAATAATTCTATTTAAAATAAACTATTGAAAAGAAGAGTGTTTTGTGTAACCTAGAAATATTTTGCTAGCAGTTCTGTGCAAAAAAGGCATTGGAATGTATTGTGGGAATGTGTTCCTTTCTTGGGGGAGGGGTTGAAGGATGGAGAGGGAGAGCGAGACGACAGAGAGAAGGGACAGAATCCATAGTGCAGGACGCCACTAAGATTGTAAATAGAGAAGATGAGATCAATTAAGTAGCAGATGGATGATGATAGTGTACACTGTTGGAGGATATTTTGCTAATAGCTTCTTTCCCCCCATTTTTCAGTATGGAATCTCTGATGCACAGAAGGCCAAAGATGGAAAAGCTCTTCATTTGCTCAGTATGAAACCTTGAAGTAAAACCGCTCCTCGCTATAAATACAGGCGATGTTGCATTGGGAGAATAGGTTATTGTAACTGTTAAACTATTGTATTATGTGTTAAATATTTCTTCTCTAAAATATTTAAAGGATGTACACATATGTATAATACAAAATGTACAATGTAAAGTAGTATATTTTAGGAGCTGCAAAGCTCCTGTGAATAGATTGGGAACAATATTGTGTGATCCATACATGGTGTACATTGATCTGTGTATCTGTGCCACATTTACGCTTAATCTAGTCCTAATTTCAGCATGTTGCTGCTGCTTGAAATATTGTATAATTTACCTGTATAATTATTCTATGCAAATATTGCTCATGAGATAGGATTTTGTTTTGTAAAGGTACGCATTTTGTTAAAATATTTTAATTTTGCATATCACAACCCTGTGGTAGTATGAAATTTTACTGTTAACATTTCAAGCACGCTATGTGTGCTTCTTAAAATGATCAGATATGAAGAAAAGCACGTTAATCTTTTATGACCTGTTAGTTATAGTCATCAGACTCTTTGCTGTGTACTGTATGTCTGTTGTGTTTTAATTTAACCCTTAGTGTGTGTGTATTTATTGACTATCTTGACTCTATGAATGATAAACTGTACCTACAAATTCTAGCTGTCAGGAGAAACAAAGAGACGGCCTTTTTTAAAAAAAAATATTTATTGTCAACCTTAATAGAATGCAATTTTTGTAAAAACGACCCACCCTCAAACTCAACTGTTCTCTTTAACCTCCATTTGTATATTTGTAAAGACATGCATCCAGTTTTTTTGTTAAAAAATGTAGACTATAATCCAATTCCGTTTTTTATATGTAAATGTGTAGGGGAAAAAAGTACTGTCTCTTCTTGAAACTGACTGATGCTGTTGTTAACCTCATCTGCTGCTCCACATGAATGGCCTCACTTGTGCTCAATCCAGTGGGGCGCGTAAGACTGAAGCTCTGAATCCTTCAGGAACAGCCCCGAATATTTACTTTTTATATATATAAAATATATATTTATATAGAAATGTTATATAGAGTTCCATACAGGTCTCATATGTTCCAAAACTCAAAACGGTGCCTACAGTTGAATCAAAATCCTCCCTTGATGACTGGTCTCGATACTATTTTTAAGCTTTTTTTTATTTTATCATCTGGTGATTTAGGATTTGTTTTAAGCAATTCTTTATTGAAAGACTGAATCATCAACATTTTTACAGTTTATTTTGTTAGTCGTGTTTCTTTGCATCAGTCTTACTAACGTTGATGTTACAGATGATGCCAAATGGTGTCCAGTCGCATATAAGCTGAGTCATGTCCTCCGTTTTTTAAGTGTTAAAATAAGCTACTGCCATTAGCACACTAAGGGTTAACCCTAATTGTCTACTCTATGTGGAAAAAAAAGTTTACTCTCTGGCGTAGAAGTGTATGTGATACTCAGCAACAGACCTCAATGCGGCACTTGCCGTGGATTGACCTGAGATCATCCAGAATCCACAACAAAAACTGTATGGTGTTAATTGGAACTAACTTCAGCTGCCATAGTGTATATTAGATCGTGTCAAAAGTTCAGAGTGGCTTCCCACTGCTTCTGCCTTGGCGTCTGTCTGTCACTTTGAACTATTATTTTCCCCTCTCCCTTGCTCCTCGTTTAAACAGCACAGATTGTGTCAAATGCAGATATATGTATGTTTTTCTCTTCCCTCCCCCTTCCCCTGTCTGCTGCTTCTGCACAATGTAGACCTTTTCTCCTTATAAGTCACATTGGCAAAGGGAGAACTTCTCAGTGGCTGCCAACTGTTTTTAAGGAAAAAAATGTATTTTTTTGTGATATTTATATTTTTGTATCATAAGAATGTTTTCTTACAGTATTTGTTGTATGCCAGTTTATAACAAAAATGCAGGGATTTTTTCTTCTGTTCAAAACCCTATTACAGCTACATTTTACTTTGTAATGGATTTTTAATCTGTATAAAGTGCTTACTAATGTTAATAATTAAATAGGAAAGATATATAACTGTTACATTAAGATCGTGTAGGTTTTAGGATGAGGATGCAAAAGGAAAATATTCAAACTGGGTCTCACTGCCTGTCAGATTTTGGCAGAGGTGGGTTTGTGTCATTTCAGTTACAAAGATAAATGTATGCCATATAATTTATTTATATGAAAATTTATTTTTGTAGTGTACATAGTAGTCATCAAGTCTTTTGACAGAAGTATATTTTTAAAGAGTTTATATGTAATGATACCATTATGTTGGATCATAACTGAGACACAGTTACAGTGCACACTTTTCATTGTAACTTACACTTGGAGAAGATGTTTTACAGTGTTAAAGAGAAAGCAACTATTCTAAAGTTACATAATTTGGTTCATTTTCCGCGGAATACGTGCCTTGTGTGTTTTATCTGCGTCATGGGACGTGGAAATTGTGGAAGCTCTCTAAATATTAATGTTCAACCACTGATAGAATTTCTAACAAATAAAAATAATATAACTTAACTATTGTGTGGTTGTCCTTATTACTGGTCTGAATTGTTTGCACTCAACACAACTGAAGAAGCCCTCAATATGCTCCCTCTCTGCAATGTCATCCGCAGACATTGGGTCAACTTCCACATGTATGCAGATTACACCCAAATCTTCTACTCCTCCAGCTGTGACTCCCAGCCCGCTGATGTTCTGTTAGCTTGTTTGACGGACATCAAGGCCTGGATGAGCACAAATTCCTTGCAGCTGAATGTTGGCAAGACAGAAGCCATAGTCTTTGGCTCCCATCAACGTCTTCTCACCTGTGGGTCTGAACTCCTCAACCTCCCCGGACTCTCCCTCAGGGTTCGATTCCCAGCTTTCCTTCCTACCCAACATCTGTTCCTTGACAAGGATCGCTTTTATCCACCTCCGACACATTGTCCATCTCTGTCCATACCTCGCAACCAAAACACTCGTCCACGCTTTTGTCACTTCCCAGCTGGACTATTTTGATTCCCTCCTGGGTGGCTTCCCCAGTTCCACCATGCGCAAAATTCAACTAATTAAAAACTCCGCCACCCGGATACTCACCCCTACAAAATTCTGTACCCCATCACCCCAGTCCTTATTATATGTGTCAAAGTTAAACATATTTTAGGTTCACGTTGTTTTACTATATGTACTTTCTCTTTTTCTGATCATCCAGTGGAGGGGATATTTATTTGAGAATCTGGAGACTTGCATATTTTCTAATTCTGCAATTCCCTTATTTTGCATTGAAGACTTTCCTCTTCAAACAATGCTTTGATCGTCTCCCTTCTCTCCCTGGTTTGGGACTCTGGAATTCTCTCTCAATCCCTCCACCTTGCCCCCTCCCTTCCCACTTTTAAATCCCGCCTTTTTGATCATGCTTACCGTCACCTCTTCCCTCCCTTTCCCCTTGGCTCAGCATCAGACTTCACTACTAAGCGCTCCGGGACACTATATAAATGCAAATTGTTGTTGGTGTCAAGCTCCGCCATAGTTAAGCGTTCCGAGAGCTATCCCACAATGTTTTGGTGTTGTTATAAGCTTATAAAATAATGAAGGTTTTGATAGAATCAATAGGGAGAAACTATTTCTACTGGTCAGAGAGTCAACGACAAGAAAGATTCAATTTAGGATAGTCAGCAAACGAGTAATGTCGGGAGATTAGGAGAATATTTTCCACGCACAAGGAGTTGTTTGAGTTGTGGCAAAATCCATATTAGCTTTCAAAAGGGAACTAGATAGATAGCAAACTGCAGGTGTATGGGAGAAAGTGGCAGGTAAATGGGACTGAAAGGATTGCTCCTTTAAAGAACCAGCAGAGATACGATGGAGCAAATGGCCACCTCTATGGTTCTATGGTTTCTATGATTCAACAGCCCAATTTCAAATAGCAATACATGGACTTTCCCATGCCTAGTTTGCATATCAAGGTACTACCGAGGTGAGATGCAGGTTAAAGTTTCCAAACTTCCCTCTGCTCCGCTGCAACACCTGAACCTCAGAATTCAGCACAGTACAACCCAATAAATCAGTGTGACAATTACTTTCTTCACGCTAGCTATGAGGTTCTTTGAACACTATATTAGAAGTTCAGTATTAGGAACTGAGCTAAGTGCTGAATGCCCCTGAACTACACTAATTTATTTTGGAATCCAGCGTATCTGCTGAAGAGAGGAGATGTTTATCTCGTGTGGGCAAGATTCTTACAGAGAAGTATCAGGAATGAAAAACCCAATGCATTAACCAGTCCCCACGGTTTTCTGTGGTTATTAATAATCCTTGCAGAATAGGATTATTATATTGAACCATAGAAATTCACAGCACAGAAGGTGGCCATTTGCTCCATTGTATCTCTGCTGGTTCTTTAAAAGAGCAATCCTTTCAGTCCCATTTACCTGCCACTTTCTCCCATACACCTGCAGTTAGCTATCTATCAAGTTACCTTTTGAAAATTAATATGGATTTTGCCACAACTCAAACAACTCCTTTTGTGTGGAAAATATTCTCCAAATCTGCAAGGATTATTAATAACCACAGAAACAGAAGACATGGGGTAAATTTCCACATCTATGCGAATGACACCCAACTCTACCTCTCTGCCTCCACCCTGAACTCCAGGACTACTGGTGTCCTGACCGACTGCCTGTACAACATCAAGTCCTGAACGAGGGCCAACTTTCTCCAATTCAACGTCAGCAAGACCGAGGCCCTCCTGATTGGCTCGGGTCAACGCCTCCGCTCCTCGGGCACTGGCAGCATCAGCCTCCATGGCTGCACACTCAACCTCACTAAGCCAGTCAGGAACCTGGGTATATTGTTTGATCCTGAACTGTCCTTTCTCTCTCACATCCGCGCCATGACAGGCACTGCCTACCACCACCTCCGCAACATTGCCAGACTCCACCACTGCCTCACCCCTCAGGCTGCCGAAACCCTCACCCACGCATTCGTCACATCAAAGCTCGATTACGGGAACTCCCTCCTCAACGGCCTTCCCAACTCTTCCCTTCACAAGCTGCAGATCATCCGAAACTCTGCAGCCCGCGTACTCTCACGCACCAGGCTCCGTGACCCCATCACTCCCACGTCTCCACTGGCTCCCCATCCCCCAGAGGATCGAGTTCAAGATCCTCGTCCTCACCTTTAAGGCCATCCATGGCCTTGCCCCCTCCTACCCCGCTGACCTGCTGACTCCCTACCAACCTGCCCGTTCCTTCCGTTCATCGGGCTCCATGTCTCCCGCCCGACCCACCCTACCATCGGTTGCAAGGCTTTCAGCCTCTCTGCCCCCACACTCTGGAACGGTCCCTTCACCTCGCTTCCTCCCTTTTCTCCTTCAAGGTCGGTCTCAAGACCCTTCTCTTCGACCACACCTTTGGTCGCCCTCCCACCTCTCTGCCTTCCCTCACCCCTACACACCCCTCCCCCATGCTCAGGCCCCGACACCTGACTGCTCAGCGCTTTGGGACGTCCTCCCGACGTGAAAGGCACTCTATAAATATCATTTTGTTGTTGTTGCATTTTGATATAGCACCTTAGCACATCTTCGAGACATTTCAAAGTGCTTCACGGAATATACTGTACGGTGAATTGACTGTATATGTTGTGGGTGAAACACGGCAGCCAATTACAGCCAACAGGGTCCCACAAACAGTCGTGGATTGAGTGATCAAATTGTTTTTTTAAAAGGAATTATTACCCCCAGAAAAGTGATCCGCCAATCGACTAACAAGCGGGTTCCTACTTACTGCTAGGTAAACAGAGACGTGTGGAGTAAGGAAATTTTCCCAACATTTCACCCTGCCAGGAATCAAACCCAGGTCTCTCGCTTGCGAGGCAAGTGTCCTAACCAATGAGATACAGGACTCCACTTATTAAAATAACTTACTGAAAATTGGCTTAAAAATGTAAGATTTTAAGAATTTTCCAAATTGTGGACACCTTAAATTGTTCCATAATTAGACTAAATCTGGACCCATGTGGAATTTTTCACCGGATAATGTCTAGATGTATCTGAATATTGTGAGTTGAGATAACTCCTCTGCAGAACAATAGAATTAAGAATTGGCCCATCAGCCAATACAAGAGAAAACAATGTATTCTTTGAAGAAGAGCCATGTGGGTTAAGCACAGAAATGTCTTTCTCCCATCATCAATAGGAGTCTTATAGCTGTTGCTCATTTTGTGGCTGAAGAAACCTGGCTTATCTACCTCAGCCCTTCAGCACTAGGAATTAGCCATATTAGTCTCTTCTATACTATCCCTTGGATTTAGATGGGCCCTCAGGCTACAACCACCATAGCTGTAAGCATCAAAACTATTGGATTTTTTAGGTGACTTTGGGGATGATGAGTGTAACTAATGTGTCTTTGTTAAATGCCACTTCACGCTGTTGGTGAAGGACAAGTGAACTAACATCCTTTCAATCTTCTACTTGGCAACTTCTAGCCCATTCACAGAATTCATGTATTTCCTGCATTTACTGTCAGAATGCAGTATTTTATATTTGTTCGTATTGAAGCTTATTTACCAATGACAACCAGATGTAAGTTCTCTCAGGCTCTCTTTGCAAGATCCTGGCTGCCCTTTTGAAATGCCTGAGGAACCCCACTCAATTCCTTCCTCTCTATTTTGACCTAGTTCTACTTGGGACTACTCTCTGCTTCAATTAACCAGTTACTAATCCATAACCATGTCTTACCCTTGTTATCCACTGGCATTATTTAGTAAGGAAGTTTCTTGTGTGATGCTTTATCCAAGGCTTTTTGGAATTCTAAATTCACTGTCATATGACTTTCCACTGTCAATTTGAGATGCTGATTCTTCAAAAAAATATATTTTGGTAGGGTAACTGAAGCCAAGTTGGTTACCACTCATTAGCTTATTTTCCTATAAATACTCTTCTATGCTACTTTGATTTTTAATTCAATTTGTTTTCTAATTACTGATATCAGAATAATGGTTCTGCCGTTACCAGCTATGGCTTCACCACTGTTCTTGAATGCGACACTCAACGTTTCAATCAGACCTAGTTGCCCTCAATGGACTGAAGCACTTTAGAGAATGTCAGTGTAATCCTGAATCTTCAATTTCATAGAATTGTGGAATCCTGTAGTGTATTGGTTAGAGCACTCGGCTCGCTAGCGAGAGGACCTGGATTAGATTCCCAGGCAGAGCGAAACCACAGATAAGTTTCCTTACTATACATGTCTCTGTTTACCTAGCAGTAAGTAGGAACCCAGTTGTTAGTCGATTGACAGATGCTTTCTGAGGGTAATAATCCCTTCAAATAAATAAATTTGGACACTCAATCCCTACTATTTCTGGGACACTGCTGTGTGCTGTTGACTGACATATTTCACCCACAAAATATAGTCAATTCACTTTACAGTATATTCTGTGAAGTGCTTTGGGACGTCTCAACATGATAAGACGCTATATCAAATGCAAGTAATATATT